TTAGGGCTTAGGGTTTAGGGTTTAGTGTCTTTATGCCTTTCGTGAAAAGATTGAGACTTTGGTGTTGATGAGTGGTTAAGCAGTGTGGGCCCTGTCTTCATCAACCCTAAACCCTGAACCCTTAAACCAACACAGCCCGAACCCTAGCCTAAGGGTCCAAACGACCCGATAATTAGGTACTTAGGTTTAGGATAGTTATGTAGGTTACTATTTGGGAGAGTGTACGATAATTATGTACTTGGACCTTTAACCCTAAACCCTAAACCCTAAACCGAGACCGGAGGAGCAGACGCAATGCTCCATGGATGTCGCGGCCAGCTTGCCGATCCTGATCAACATCATCTGCCTGGTTCTAAGTAGGGTTTGGGTTAGGGTTTAGGTTTAGTAGGGTTTGGGTTTAGCTTAGAAGTTGAGTGGATACACTTTGCACTTTTTGGGATAATCTCACCCACTATAAAACCTAAAAGTGTATATTTTTGGTGGCATATCAACTCAGCAACTAAGTTAGGCAGGGTGTAGGAATGACGGAATGGATCTCGACTGATTAGGATCTCTATGGTACTAGCACCCCCGTAAGGTCCCTTCTAGTGGTTCCTGCCCCATTCCCTAGAACCAGGGAGTCATCTGTGCCTTCGGTGAGGTTCGGGTTGGGTCCGGGTCCAGGCTTCCATTAAGGGTTCTACGATTCTACAATCCAAGGGTAAAAGGAGGGACCCTTAATAAGGACCCCCAGGTATATACCCTTAATATAGTACTATATACCCATTATATAGCCCATTATAGGGTAGGGGTCCCCATTAAGGGTCCCTCCTGTTCCCCTTTGATACAAGGAGACCCTAAAGGAGTTCTATAAAACGCCTCAGGGCACAGGTGTAGGGCTGAGGCACGGGTCCGGATGCATGAGTCTATTCGGAACTATACAACAGGTTTAGGGTTTAGGCTTCTAGAAGGGTTCATGTGAGAGTTTCCGAAAGTTAGGGGTACTGTATTTTGGGGTCCTTATAAACAGGATCCTACTATTTAGGATACCGTTTCAGGGGTCCAAACTTTTCGGAAACTCCCATATGAGAGAGACGTGCCCCGAGATTCCAAAGCCCCTAGCTAAGGAGTAAATGTTAATGTTAGATCGTCATGCCAAGGATCCCCTACAACTTAGCTTAAAGCAGAATGGCATATTCCTGGGTTCAGGGCTTATGGACAAGCCAATATCACAACCAAGATCACGACAGCAGCAGCAGCAGCAACACAATGCAAAAGCAGCCCCAAGCAACAACAACCGCATCCGGGAGCGCAACCGCAACCCCAACCCCCACCGCAACCACAACCACCGCAGCAGCAGCAGCCAAAGCCACAGCCGAACCCGCAGGGGCAGCGGCAGAGCACCGACACACACATCTACACACACACAAGCCGCTCAAACACAATGATAACAAGTGAAAATCTCTTCAGCACTCACTCGGCCTTACCCTCTAAAGTGCACACGACACCCTGCTTAGAAAAGGAACACGACACGCAGGCTGGGGTTTCATCTTCTACTTTGCGCCACTGGTCTTCGGGTTACCCGTCGTGGTGGCTGACATCAGACCCTCGGCTTTCAACTAAGGGTTTGTGGTTCAGGAGCTCAGGGTTTATGGTGTAGGCTTTAAGGGCTTATGGTTTAGGAGTTCAGGGTTTATGGTGTAGGGTTTAAGGGTTTATGGTTTAGGAGTTCAGGGTTTATGGTTTTAAGGTTTATGGCTTTGGGGTTTGGGGTTTCGGTTTTGGCTTGTCTTAGAGGTTGTGGGCTTCTCCTGGGCTCTGAGCTCCAAATCCCTTATTACGGTAACCCTGAAGCCCTCGACCTTCCTAAACACTCAAGCGCTGACCCCCTACTGACACTGAACCCTAAACACCTCGCGAAAGGGTTAAGGATTACCGATTCGGGTTTCAGGATTAATCTACTATAATCCTATCATACTATAACACTACTATATACTATAAGACTAATGTACTATACTACTAATACACGGCACTTTAGTCTTCTGCGTTTGCCGTGTGGGGCATCTTGAGGCACAGGGTTTCTTGCCCAGGTTTGTTTGGGTTTCAGATTTCCCCGGAGAGCCCAAACCGTAGCTTGCATTCCGGATCCCTCTCCATGTTGGTGCTACATCCTAAGCCCCCTAAACCCTAAATCCCTAAACCGTAAACCGTCTTATGTAAGGCTTTGGGCAGAGGGCTCAAAGTTTGAGACTCTTAGGCTCGGGCTTGTGGCTGTTTGTGAGCAGTCGCTTCAAAGCATTTATGGGACTTAGAAACTAGGGCTCTCAACTGTTTTTTTTTTCAGAGGGTTCCTGCAAGGGCTCTAATGCCATATTGATAAATAATATATGGGTCTAGGGTCTGAGGGATCATGCTACTCAGCACTCGGTGGCGATAGTCATGATTAGTTGTACCCGTAAACATAACCCCTTACAATCGTTGTCGGGCTGTATTCTGAGGTGGTACTGTTACTATATCATTTGGTCCCTGGGTTGGTCCGGGATTGGTCCAAGTGTTGGTCAGGGATTGGTCCGGGGTAAGTCCGGGGCTGATCCCAGAGTTGTGTGGGTCTTGCGTTTAGGCCCCAGTTAAGGTACGTTCAATACTACCTAAACCCAGAGCCTCCGATATCCCTTAATTAAGGAATATACCTGAAATTATAGTAGGATCCCTAATATGATTTAAGGAATATTCCTTAATTAAGGAGTATTGGAGTCTCTGGGAACCCTAACCATCCCAAAACCATAAACCCATAACCCTGACTTACCAGGTCCCATGATCCTCCAAGCATCTACGCTTACCCGAGCTGGCGCCCCCAATACTTCGAACCCCTGGTCCCTTAGCCAAGAAGCCGCTGCATCCCTGAAACACTACTTCAAGGATCATGGGACCTAGTCTTAGTAATTGGGGTTATAAACAATAAGGCAACGCCAGCTATAGCTACTTATAACCTCAATTGAGGTACTTATAACCATACTTACTAAGTCCCATGATCCTCCAAGTACTCCCGAGGCCTGAATCAAAAGGGTCCACAGGGCCCAATAAATAGATGTTGGGCCTTGGAATAGTAGGTATGCAAGGCTAGTATTCGAAGAGAATATGAGGTACGTGGAGGCTTGTTCTGGAGGAACCCTACACCCTTCATTCAGCAGTTTACTCTTCAGGCTTGCAGTTATTTTTATTGGAAAAATATGATGATTTGGTAGCCGGACTCTTCTGATTGGTGCAACGACAGGCGCCACAAAACTGCGAAGCTGCGAGCATTTTTGTAGTGTTTGTCACATACGAACTTCGAGCCGAATTGTTTTCAGAGGGTTTTCAGACGAGCAGCTCGTGAGGGTTTGAGATTTGGAGGTAAAGAACCTATGTATACCTTATTTAGGGTTGAGGGGCGGTTTAGGGCTTATGGTTTAGGGTTAGGGACGCCTCACCTTTGGGTAGTAGGGAATGAAAGAATGGCAGTAATAGTAGTAGTTATAATTGTACCCCATTCCTCCATTCCCTACTAACCAAAGGTAAGACTATGGATACCTTATTCAGGGGCCCTTGTGTACATTTTAGGGTTTGCTTCTAGGTCTCTGATTTTCTAGCCCTAAGGCTCAAAATAGCCCAAAAGCCCTATATAGTATGGTCTTTGGGCCCAAAAGCCTTAAAATCTGAGCCCTTAGAGCCTAAGGGTAAAGCTCCCGCAGCTGAGGAGTTGGACCGCGCTCTTGGGTTCACGACACGGGCAAAAGGGTACTACCGGGGATCCTAGCAGACCCTACACTCCCATAGTTCCCTTATAGAGCCCTGTAAGGAGCCCTCTAAACCTTATTAAACCCTAGACCCTATACCTTAAATACCCTAAACCCTAAACCCCTTTAAGGAACCCTTGGGATCCTAAGCCCTCAACCCCCGAAACCCTAAGCCCTCAAAAACCCTGCGGCCGGTTTCGGCGACTCCTGCTTCCGAGGCAAACAGGCGGGTGGCATCCGCGTGGTCTCCCATGGGAACCACAACCTCATGAGGCTGGGAACGTTTCATCCCCATGAAGCCCAAAACTCAAGGTCTAAGGCCTAAACGCTGAGTTCCGGGCTTTCACCCAGAGACTCCAATATCCCTTAACGAAGGAGTCCTACTATGATTGAAGGACTATTCGTTAACTAAGGGGTATTGGAGTCTTTGCGCACCCGGAAGGCCCAAAACTCAGAGTTTGGGGGTTTGGGTATGACCCGTCAGCTACAACGAATCTTCCTCACACCCTACTTGGAGGATCATGGGACTTAGTAAGTAGGGCTATAAGTACCTTAATTATTTGGCTATAAGTACCTTATTTCAGGTTATATGTACCTATAAGTGTAGTTACCTTAAACTTATAACCCCAATTACTAAGTCCCATGGTCCTTTAAGTACTGCAAACCAGCCCAACAAAGAGTTCAATGCCAATCTGCTGCACCGCATCAAGCCCATGCAAGCCTGAACCCTAAAACCTAAACCCTAAATGACTCAAGGCTCAAGTCGCTCAAGCTCAAGTCGCGCGTCCGCCCACGGCCCCCGGAGTGCCCCGGAATATGACGTCTCGCCATCGTGCAGGTGTCCCCGCGGAAGCCGGGGTTGATCTTTTGGACTTACATGCAGGTCAAGGCACCAGACCGAAGGCAGCGGGGCCCGCCTTAGCACAGGTACCGACAGCCTACGACCCGGACCTCGAGCCGACGGGCGCCAATGACATGTCCGTGGACGGCACCGCGGGCGCCGGAAACAAACGACGAGGGCACATGGAGAACCCGTCGCCTACCCGGCCACGGGGCGAGGCCCGCGGCGTCACCTTGGACGATCTACGGGACCTCCTTGACAATCAGACGCAGAGGATCCAGGAGAGCCATTAACAAGACCTTCTCGACTTGAAGACAGCTACCTTCAAAGAGCTCACCACCATAAAGAAGGACGTTAGAAAGCAAGGTGATCACATCGACCAACTACGAGATCAATACGACTAGATGGAGTCCAGGATCCGCGCCCTTGAAGAAAAGGGACCCAGTGCATCGACCACTACGTCCGAGCCGGGACGACCCAACTTGCTTATTATGGCGGGATGGTCGCAGGACACACCCAAAGACACTTTGCTTCATGAACTAGATCAATGCCTCAAAGAACTCGGCCTTGCAGAGGTCATCGAGGACAAATTCTGCACCGGGCCGCGCCGAGGATTTGCCATGACCTTCATCCGGACGGACCCCACGGAAAGCGGCACCCAATTGAAGAGACGCCTCATCACCATTGCACAGCAGATCCAGAGAGCCAGTATCAGAGCCCCGAGTATGGACCAAGACAAAATCCTACGAGCGACACTCGGGAGAAGCCGCGAAGAACGTCTCCTATCCAACCACACCGGCAAGACCAAGCGACTCATCTTGACCGTTGACCCGAACCTAAAGCCTTACGTGGAAACAGAGTATGCCGCTGGTAATGTCTGGTTCCGCAACCAGCTGATCTCCTCGGCTACGAGACCGCCACCACGTCCGGGATGCAAGGCAGGCAAGCCCCCACGCAGCTGGATTGATCTCCAAGGTTTGAGCTCGATACTAAGAACACCAGCCGAGGATCTGGAGAAGCAGTGGGACGAGCTGATGTCCTACTGAGAGGAGGACTTGGACGCTGAGCCCCAATTGGTCACTGACCGAGAACCCCGGCCTACCCGGCCCTGCACGATGCACACACCTAATTCGGGAAACAGGAGAACAACTCCGGAACCCTGCTACACTGATACCGCGAGCCTCGATCCCAGATCTAGCTCGCCCTTTATGGAACCGAACAACTCTGGCACAGCTGCTAGTTCCACGGCGACTGTGCGGGAACCGCATGCTTCATTTCCAACCCCTTGCACCGGAAGAGCAGTTACCTCTGCCCCTTCACACAGCACTGACCGAAGTGCTGCATCTGCCATGCAGTACATTCCGATTTCGATTGCCAGTTGGAACATAGGAGGGACTAGCATCGAAGATGCGCTCAAGTCTACCCGACTGGATACCGCAGGAAAAGTGGATCTTGTCTGTTTACAGGAGATGCCTCGAAGGCCGCTGGGATGGCACAGCGATGTGGTCAGCGACCTTACGGTGGTCCAGTACCGCCACGACGACACCCAGTGGCGTGGCAACGCCATCGCATTCTCCTCAGAATTCCAGGTGATCCGCCGGAGGGGCGGAAAGTTCGGCATCTGGCTCAGACTCCGCCATCTGCCCTCAACCAATGAGGTCTGGATAGGATGCCACCGCCTCAGCACAGGGGTGACTAGCGATGTTACAGCCGACGAGCTGCACAGCCTCTGCGCACTCCTCCCTCCGACCCTGCTCCCAGTCATTCTCATGGGAGACTGGAACACCCACCTTCGATGGAGTAGAGTTTCAGGCAGTCGCGCCGATCTCAGACCGACTGAAGCGAGATCTGAGTATGTACTTGCACAATTGGGCACATGTGGTATGACCATGCAGGCCCCCGCAGAGAACCAATGGGATGTACCCACAAGCCGTCCCCGGAGGGCAAGAGCCAGGGGCAGACAGATAGATGGGGTCGCATTCAAGCAGACCCAGCTGGACCCCACCTGCATCCATGTGGACAGCTACAAGCAACTAGTGAAAGGGGATCATGAAAGGATATCTACCAGCTTCCGATTGAGACTGGGAGACAGACCGCCACCTCCTAAGATCCAGACAAGGCCCCGAGTGATAGTCAAGCAACCACCGATAGTGAAGACCATGAATCAAGAGGTTCTACGCGAACTGGCAATCGAATGCACCAAGCCCAAGAAAGGCGAAAGGTACAAGGACCCACCTAGCGTCAAGAGCCTTTACGCCATTGCCAAACACCATGGCACTGAAGCAGACTGGAAGAAGGCCCATAAAGAGAGAAGGAAAGCCCAGATCCGATGGAGGACCTCTAAAGCTGAAAAAGCAGCAGCCGGAAGCTGGCAAGAATACCGAGGCCTTAAAACCCAAGGGGGATCGGAGTGGACCATCCACTACGTGCAGTCCGCTGAAGACCAAGGTCTAGACCCCATGCGGTGGACTACCACCCACTTCCGGACACTATTTCAGAAACCGGCTCCTCGCAACCCGCCGAGATGGACTAAGGACATCGACACAGGCGAGCACTTCAGTCTTGAAGAATTGAAGGCAGCACTCCAGAGAGGGAGACGCAACAAGGCGGTGGGGGAAGACTTGGTATCCTTCGAACTGATCAGTGCCCTCAAAGACACGGAGGCCGCATTCCTTGAGTGGATGGAACGCTTGCGATGCGGAGAGGAGCTGCCCCCGGAATGGCTGAGAACCCTGGTAACACTGCTGCCCAAAACTGAGCAACCCAAGGGACCGGGAGACCTACGCCCGATCAGCGTTGGCGCAGCCGCCTCCAAGATCTTCGGCACGATGCTGTTGCTGCGCACACGCCGCCACATTGCACCCATAGGACCTGCACAATGTGCACACAATGGCCGCCAGACATGCGACTACTTGTTCTCTGCGGTGCAAACATTTGCCTTGGACACCGAGTGGCACCTTGGCCTGAGCTGGTGCAAGCTAGACATCCGCAAGGCATTCGACACTTTGGCGAGAGACAAAACCCTGGGCATCCTCCGAGATAGGCTGCCGCCTCACATGTTTCTCGAGTACAAATGCTGGGAACGCCTGTTCTATGAGGGCGTCGCCGTCCTCAAGACTCCATGGGGCGAAGCCGAGATACCTCAAGGGAGAGGCATACGCCAGGGAGCAGTGGAAAGCCCTTTCTTGTTTGCAATCGCTATCGAAACAGCCCTCTACGATGCGATGAATAACAAAGAATGGCCCTCTGAAGTCCCCAGTGCCCCACATCTGCCCCTCGCAGAGCTGCTCTTCATGGACGACACGATCCTCACGGCCGGCACGAGAGACCACCTCACCAGAAAGTACAATATCTTACGTGATGAACTAGCCACCTGGGGACTACACGTCAACCCGGAGAAGACCAGCTACTACCACTCGCCTTACTCTACAACCCCGGGACCAATCAAGCTAGATGACAAGATGATCGCACCGAGCGAGAACCTCACGGTCTTCGGTATCCCCCTCAGTGTGCCGTTCAAACCAACCAGCATCATGGATACTGCCATGTCTAAAGCGTCCAAGAAGTTCTACGCTAACAAGCACGTTTTCCTTGCCGAGGCACCCCTCAAAAGCAAACTCAAGATGTTCAGGTCAATAGTGGGCGGAAGCCTACTTTGGTACAGCTCGGCTGTCTCTCCGAATCCGCATGCAATGAGCAGCATCAACACTTTACAACTTGAGCTGATTGCGAAGATGGCAGGTTTCCGTAGGAAAACCCAAGAGACATGGCTAGACTGGAGGCAACGCTCACTGCGATCAGCTAGAAGCCTCTTACATAGCCATGGCGTAGAAAGATGGTCGACAACATGGCTCAAACGATTCTGGTCGTACAAAGGCCACATAGCTAGAGGGATCAACCGAACCCACCCGCCCGCTAGCTCCTACATGGACTCATACCGTACTCTCAAGTGGTGGAGAGAACAACAAAGACGACCTGATGGCATCACCCGCCAGGGAAGCTTCTACGCATACCATACCAAGGAGGAAGAAGCACTCAACAAAGCATGCGCCTCGCAGGACTGGCGGCAGACAGCTCAGGACCCAATAGCCTGGAAACAGTTCGAATCCAGCTGGGTATCCAACATGGACATCCGCTGGGCCTCAGGTAGACAACTAGCCCTTACTGCGTAACGATGTACAGCCCAATCCCATTTGACACCGCTTCGCTCAGGTCGCTGAGGTGACGCCTATGGCTGAGTAACGACGTTGAACGAAAGTAGGTTGCCCTAACCCACGTTCCCCACGCGCTTAACCAGTGAAACACCCTATGGACCCTCCTTGAATGACGCGCAACTTTCGCAGCCCTTGTCAACCAGAGGTAGAACTCGCAGGCCGTTTGTAAGCCCTGTAAGCCTGTATACATAACATCGCCATGCAGCAACTCGTGACGATTCTGCTGTATGCCATCCTGACCGCCGGACAGCACTCGCCCAAGACCAATGCTCGCCAGGAAGAGCAAGAATACTACCCGCCCCGGCATCAATTCGAACCAGAACGAGAAGAAAGCGCCCCAACATGGCCATCGAGCACGAGTGAGATCACCCGAGGACTACTGGTACATCGGCCGCAAGAACGGAGTGCACCTCACCACCGAGACCCTGCCGCACATGAGGTACATGATTCCGCCCCCCATCGAGACGCAAGGGGCCATCAGAACAGTGGGCCCGCCACACATGCACAGTTGGACAACGCAGACAACGGCAACGCACAACCAAGCGGCCTGGACTCCAACCAAGCAGTGAACGAGACGAACATCCTGCCCAGACGCCACGACCACTACGAGGCCGAGACATCCCGTGGACTACCAGTACCTCGGCCGGAAGAACGGAGTGCACATCTTCGTCAACACCCTGCTGCACGGGACGTACGCGATTCGGGACCCCATCGAGACCAAGGGAAATCTAAGGAGTGGGACTCATGGTCCACCCCAGCCCTGATGACCAAGAACGCCAAGGCCGACTCCACCCCAACAGGACCTCTCCAAGTCGGCAGCGAGGGGCAGAAAGCCGTGGTCACGCAAACCACGACTGACCCGGCAGTACTGCAGCAGTCCACCGGCAAGTCAGCCACGCCCTCGGACTGCGGACCGCCACAGAAGCCGCGCGGACCAGACCGCGCCCCGCGACTACCTGTACCTCGACCGCAAGATCAAGCTGCTGAACACCAGCGAGGCCCCGCCCACGAAGATAACCACGACCCAGAACTACACGACGGCCAGGATGACACCTCCAGTTTCATTGGCTGGCAGGTCCCCTTTATACTAGGAGTGGTCGAGTCGTGGGACGAGCCTTTCCTACCACATGACGCACCATCTTGGTTTTGGACCTACCTGGACAGGGGGGTAGACTTCCTGCAAAGAGGGCTACCTGTACGCACCCTCATGGACCTATTCAAGCAGGCCTGCCGACAGTTCGAGGCAGAGCCCGATGGCCAGCAGTTCATGGAAGACACCGAGCTCGTCCGCAACCACTACCTCCACAGATGGTGGCTACATGAGCGGAGAATGCAAGCACGGGGCACCCCACGCCGCGGACCGCCGGTCACAATGGAGGAGGCCCAAACGCTGGCAAGCAAAGTGGCCTTCTTGATCAACAGAGCGTGGTACCAAGAAACCCACCTTCCTCGTCGAGGTGAACCTATGCGACCATGTGGCTGCCTCGATATGACAGACGCTGAGACATCGGACAGCGAGAACCAAGATGATGCCCAAGAACAACGACACCGCTCGCGCTCACCAACACCTACGAGAGCTACGTCCTCTACCGCCCTGGAGCCACCTAGACGAAACCACCCGCAGATCGTCCTGGATGACTCTGACACATCCATCGACACAGAGGCTGACTCGGCCTCCCTCATGTCCGGAAAGGCAAAGGATGTACCGGTCCACAAGAGATCCCCTACCAGACTCTGGCGGGAACTCCCACCGGATCGGAAAAGCTCCAGCGTTCGCACATTGCGCCCCCCATGGAAGAAGGGCAACAATCCTCCACTACAAGCACGACCGCCGCCCACGCCTCCCAAGAGAAAGCCAACTCCCAAGCAGCGACCGGCGAGTGCTCGATGCTCCGCCGAAGTGCCAGCACCAAAAACCCCGGAAGCAGAGCAAGCAGAGGGCGAAACAGCGACCGCAGAGATGCAAGCCGAGGACACAGAGATGACCAAAGACGACATGATGGCAGTTTGGCAGGCCCTCTTTGACATGCAGCCATCCGACTCCTTAAGCCCCAGTTCGAGCCCTCTTCTACCAGCACACATCGCTGACAACGTGGTCGAGACCCTGGTGGATTACCCTGAACACCACCACAACGCCATGGCGGACGCCCTCCCCGAGTTCATGGCACGGCTACAATTGGATGCAGCTGCAGCTCTGCAGCGAGCAAGGAGCCTGCGAGGACGCCTCCAGACCGAGGAAGACCCCGTACCCTCACAGCCGTCAGCACCATCCGACATGCCTACGCCAGCGTACGAGGAGGAAGAAGAAGACGAAGAATCGATCTACATGCAGACGAATGTCAAGGAGATCATGGCCCCAGCCCAGGAAGATCCACAAGCTACCAAGAAGCCCATCCTCCAAATGCTCCAGGACGCGTTCAACAAGCTACCGGAAGACGATATCACGAGCCGGGCTCTGCAACTCATGAACAGACTACAGGAGCACGACGGCCCGCTCCAAGTTGACAGGCAAGCTCTCGAGGCCTTGTTGGTCAGCGTGTCGGGAGATGTACCTCCCGCAGCCACCGGAGAAGCCATCATAGTTGAACATGCATGGGTGGCCACATGGTGGGGACGACTAGTGGGAAACCGGAACGCCACGCTTCAAGACATCGACAAGAACATCGAGGACTGGGACCGCGAGATCTCGGCAGTGGACATGATTAGACAGGCCGAGGAGGACGAGACGGCTCAGGAAGAGGCACGCTACCAAGCATACCTCCAATACCTGGAGGAAGCCCGGCAAGAACACACGGACCGCCTGAAGACCCCGAACGAGGACAATGACGTGATGGCGGCAGCAGCAGGGTTGAGTTATGAACCAACCAAGACCCGTCTTTGCGTCGGCCTCTGCTGGGATGACGGTACATCGTCGCGGGCATGGGAGTGGGAGCTGGACAAGGGAGCGACATTGCAGCTGCACATCAAGATGGAAAAGAAGGACTTTCCAGGAGGCTGGATGAAGAACGGCAAAAGACTCCCTGAGGACCAAGTGCCAGCGTGTCTCAGGGAGACACAACCGAAGGCGAAATGTCGCCCAACACCGAAGCCTCTTCCACAACTGGACTTGAACAGGCCTGCCACGAGGGAGCTCTTCTCTAGATGGCAAGCTGGGAAGGTCAGCGACACGACAGTCGTGCAGGTGGGGTCGCCGACCATGTTGAAGTTCTTCAGGGAGATGACGGATATCCCACGGGACGTGCTTGAAGCACTCAACGAAAGGGACACGATGGATGTCTCCAGACCACGCGACCCAGGGGACATGCCGGCGAGTGCGAGCCATATGCCACCGACCTTGCCTGTGCCAGAGAGTGAAATCGAAACGATCCTAGTGGACCAGGCCGAGACCGGGGAGAACCAGCCGAACGATGGCAACGCTATCCACGGCGAGATGGAGCAGGCCGACACGGAGGCAAACCACCCGGACGATGACAGCGAGATCCAGTCGAACCCTGATCCATACTTCAACGGCAGAAAGTACTACGAGAAATACGGCCATGATGGAAACGACGACTACGGTGACAGTGAGTGAGGGGGCGAGTGAAGGCTGTACACAAGTGAGGCACGGGCAAGCAAGGACATGACATGATCATGCTGTAAGAGTGTTGCATGTTGCTTACGATGTCGACGCTGCTTGCGTACAACCGCTGCGTAGTGTATACATGTATGCAGAACTCTGTAAACTCTGACAAGTGCTTGCAGTGGTGAGTGCTCAGCCCGGTGCGACGTGCCCGCACATCCGTGGAAATAGCAGCATCAGGGAACGCCAAATCGGGCGATCCGAGTTGGGGCCTCAGTGGGGTACTAGTTAGGGGTTCAACTTTAGTTTGAGAAATCGGCGATCAAACCGAGGCCCCAACAACCTGGCTCATCCTGGTAAGGAATTCTAGCTGTACTGCAGTTGGAAAAGAGCCCACAAAAAAAAAAAAAAACCTAAATGAAGCCTACCTCAGATAGTGAACAGGGGAACTTTAAACTTTTTGGCCTTATATATTGGCTCTATCTTAGAAAGTTTGAACTTTTTGGGGCCCGGTTGTTGAAGAAGAGAGCTACAATCCCAACCCTGGGGTTCCAGGTGCCCAAGGCCATGCAGAATTTGAATCGTCGGACTTGAAACCTACGTGGGTACTTAAACCTTTGGGGCACTTTAGGGTATTAGCTCATATGGGTGGTTGTCAAGATTAGGCTCCCTTCTTGGGTCTCTATTATTATGATACGGCACCTATTCTTTAGGGTATCCCAAAGGGGATCTTAAGTTTGACATGTCACATGTCCTCATATGCGCTCATAAACTCCTATGCGAACCACCCCACTAAACCAAGGTACCTAAGTATTTCTCGGATACTTGTATGCTTAGGGTAAGAAAGCAACCCGAAACCCTAAAAACCACGAAAACTTGAAGCCCTAAAACAGTCTGAAGCTCTCATGCCCAAACAACCTGCAGCCCAGAGCGCTAAATCCTGCTGGGCCGTCAAGCATTCACAGTGGATTGAATCGCTACTTCACATCCTATATCAGGAGATGGAAATCGAATTTTGAAGGTGGATTGTGCTGGGTTGGAGAGTACATTCAAGCCAAGGTGATTGGGATTCGTGAAGGTAAGAAGTCGGAGCTTCCATGGAAGCACTAAACCCCAATACCCTTAACCGTAAATCGTAGAAAAGCTGCACAGCTCCCAACCTAACCCTAAACCCTACAAAAGCTGTACAGCTCCCATCCTCATTGCAGGGGCCAGCGTGCCACCGTTCGCTTCTGGGGCACCGGAGATCCACGCTTAGACACGAAGCCGCGTGGCAGCCTTCGCTTTTGTTCTGTACCCCCTAAACCCTATGCCCTAATCTGTGTCATTGTTGGGTATCATTTTGCATTTTTATGGGTACTTAAACCCTATAAGGAATAAAAATGTGCATTTTTAATCCTATCCCAACCATGAACTAGTAATCATGTCTAGTACTGTTCCATTCCCTATGGCGCCTTATTCGATTTACGGCACAACAGGCCCCCGAGCCCGATTCTAATTGTAAAGCGCCACATGTTCGGGTTTTTAGAGGTAATTAATTACCAGGGTTGTTTATAGTTTGGGTTTTTAGAGGTAACTATCCGGTTTGTTTTGTTTATTGTAGTTTTCTTTATAGATGGTGTGCAGCAAGATTTTGATTATGTGAGTTCAGAAGTTCTCTGGAATTTGGGATCTTGGGGGGGGGGGGGTTGAGACGCAGGGTCACAGGGTGGAGGATTCATGGATTAGGGTTTAGGGCTTAGGGCGTGGAACAGGTGTGCAGTGGATGTCCAGGATTCTTTCTCGGGTGCTAAAACCCAAACTCGAATGTCCCAGTGGCCCCAAAATTCCTTCGAAAGCTCAATCCTTAAGGACGAAATGAACCCTAAAAGGGTTTAAGGTTCATATACCATATAGGGATTCATAGTATATGGGTATAGGGCCCCTACTTTTAAGGGTCATTTGGTCCTTCAGGATGTTACCGGACAAGATTATGGGGACCCCGACTATCTGGCAACCCTCTTAAGGCCCAATGCTATATAGGTACTTGGACCCTCTAGCACCCCGTACTTCCCCATATTAAAACCATCTAAACTCTATTAGACCCTTGTTTTACCTCTCTATAAGACTCCCAAAAGTCGAGCCCTTTGAAAGACACTTGCACCTTTAGAGTGGGGTTTTTAAGGCTTCCCCGGTTTATCTCAACCGTAACCCCTCAACCCTAAACGCGTATCCAGCAAGGCAGTACGACTTCAAAGTCGAGTACCTCTCCAACAACGAGCTCGTCCTGCAAAAGAAGGCCAATGGAAGCGATCTGGAGGGTTTACTTGGAGCACCTTATTTGGGGCTATGTGTACTTATAACTGTAGTTACCTCACTTAGAACCCTACTTACTAAGTCCCATGATCCTTTAAGTAGGGTTTGGGCAGGAGGCCAGTATGCACCGCCCTCCCTTTGAACTGGTGCCATTGGCGCTTAGAAGGCTTCTTTCTGTAGGATTTCGAATCATGGGCTCTGGAGGGCCCAACTCAACAATTCGACCCTGAACCCCAAACCCTACCAGGAACCCCCCAAGCACCCTCCAAAGGAGCCTTTTTGGTCCTTAATAGAAGGTATTGGGGGTATAGTTGAGGGTAGTTGGGGAATGTAAGTACTAATTGTCTACTCTCAAGGTCGAGGGCTTGGGGTTTTAGATGCCCTAAACCCTAAACTAAACCAGCAAACCCTTGAATCTTTGGGCCCGTAGCCATTACCCTAAGGGTCCATGTACCCAACTAGGGCTCCTTTAAGGGTACTATAAGGGTACCATCAAGGTTCAGGCTTTAGGGTTTAAGGGTTCATGTACGCAGAAGGTATATACGCTGGCCCCAAAGTACCTATATACTATATAGGGGACTACTGTAAGGCCGAAGTAATTTGGGGACATGGACCCTTAAACCTTAAACCCTTATGGTACCCTTAAAGGAATCCTTATGGTACCCTAAAAGGAGCCCTATTTGGACGCATGGACCTTTAGGGTTAGGGTTGTACGAGGATTGGAGGACACCCTACCCGATATCCCTTAGTGTGATGGGCCGCCCGAGGACATGTCTCTATAAATTTCGTATAGAAGAAAATATGTGTTATTGCTACCATCATCATTTGATGATTAGGACTAATTAGGATAATCGTTGTGACGATGGCGGTGATGATGATGTTGATGGTTTTGTGCATATTACGTATACATAATCATTACCATAATCACTATCATGAACTTGATTATTCGCATGGCTACGGTATCATCGTCATTGTTGTTGCTATTATTTGTGGGTACGGGTGTTTGTGTATGTATGCATGCATGTACGCATGCGCGTACATGGCGGGCACACGCACAAGCATATGTTTGCGCAGATGTTTAAGCTGTGTTGTTACTTTTTGGGTTCGCAGGAACTCAAATGCTCGAACATCAAGACGTTTTGAATGCAATAAACCTGGATCCTAACTGCTCAACTGTAACGTGGGGGTTATGCCTCGGGGCTTGAGGTTCAAACAGGGAGGTGAATCATAAGTTGCACTTCCAAGCCCTTATATAGGTGGATGACATATGCTTTCGTTCGATACATGAAAGATTACCCCTAACCGCCTCTCTCCTCAAGAATCCTACACCCGCCATAGAACCCATCGGAGAGCCCATTCAAGGCCAAGAAAAGCCACACTTGGTAGGCCTTTGTGACATTTTGTATTTTCCTTACTGTCCTGAAGCAGAGATTATTATACTGAGATATACAATTTTGTACATATATATATATATATAATTTGTTTAATTATATCGGAACATTTTTCAAAGGCGTTAAGGGGCCAGCCGAGCACGGAGCTGTCACCTGTTTTGAGGATGGAAGCCCAGTGCTTGACAACCACCAGTCCTCTAGTGGAAGATTTCAGGCTGGGCGGGACCGTTATTTTTGTTTTCGTAAGGGTTTACAAGTAGGGCTTATGGCTTTAAAAGCTGTTATGGGTTTAGGGCATAGTTCCATTCTGTCGGGCTTTGGGGTTATTACGGATGGCTTGCGGTTCCTGTAGCGATCTTTTGGTTCAAAGCTTGGGTTAGGGAGTTTGCTGAGGATGGGACTCTGTTAGCATATTCGGCCCCTCCCTAAATCCTAAACCGGCTGACGATTCAATCCCCAAGCACCGAGCCTCAGGCCTTACACCCTAATATAGGGGGCTTGAATAGTTACCAAAACTAACTATTTTGGGTTGTTCCTTCTTCTAATTGCTTTATGCGCCCCGAAACCCTATTCTAATTATCAAGCCCATACTTAAAGGATCATGGGACTTAGCAAATAGGTTATAATTGGGGTTATAAGTCCCCTAAGTTATAACTTACTTATAACCTTACTTACTAAGTCCCATGAGCCTTCAAGTATATTATAAACTGTGAACCTTTAGCACCTAAGCCGTACACCTTCAATAGAAGTTGAGGGTTTCCGACAAGTTTCGCTTATTTTGGGGCTCTTATAATAAGGATCTTATAGGGTTTAGGGTTTAGGGGTTTAGGGTGCTATATTAGGGTCACCCTTTTTCGGGGACCCCCAGTTAGTCCCACAAACCCTATAAACCCTAGGATCCCCAGTAGTACCCTTATTCCCTTTTTGTAGTCCTAGGTTCCTTATAAAGTTACCCAATACCAAAAAGAGAGGCCTTTTTATTCTTAGGTTACTGGGTATCCTAGTTTCAGCCCAGAGTGCACGACCTTTGCATCCTAAAGGCCTGAGACCAGGATGACCCTTTCAACGGTCCCAAAGGGTCCTAAGTGCCTATAAGGGTTCCCTTCCAGGGTTCCTGTAAGGATTTCTATGAGGGTTTGGGGTTTAAGGATCCTAAGTTCCCTATATAGTAGCATATAGGGCTTCCGTAATAGGAAGTACTATCATGGTTCGGGCAAGTATCACCCATAAAGGATCCCTTAAAGGAGCCCTTATAGGTACTTAGGGCCCTGTTTTGAGTAGGTGGCAGAAACCAGAAGCCCCTAAACCCTAAACCCAAACCCCTGAAAGGGACTTAGGACCCTTTTTTGAAGAGGTGGCAGAAAAACAGAACCCCCACTTGGAGGGGCAGGGGACTTAGTAAGTAGGTTATAAGCTACTTACTAAGTCCCCTGCCCCTCCAAGCAGACGCAGGTGAAGCCGCAGCAGGCCTGGCTTCGTACCGGGATGTTTCAAGTGCCCTACCTGCCGCCTGGCTTGGGTTTAGGGGCTTAGGGGGTTAGGGCTTCTGGGGTTTACGTTCAGGGTTTCGGGTTTAGGGGTTTAAGGTTTAGGGGTTTAGGAGTTTAGGGTTTATTTGTTTAGAGCTTCAGGGTTTAGGGTTGAGAGTTTTAGGATTTACTTGGACCCACTGATATAAAACCTACCTATGTAAGGGCTCCCCATAATAAGTTTCCTTATATGAGTCCTTAAAACGGTAGGGTATTGGGGTTAAGGGAGGGTTTTGACCTCTTTGAGGGTTCTTCTAGGGTTCTTTTACCTGAGAGCTTAGGGTTTAGGGTCTTGCGTCTATATGGCATAGGGTTTAGGGTCTAGGGGTTCCTTTCATGCTTCGTTTAGGCCCTAAACTCTGCGGCTCCCTTAGTTAAAGAGCTTAGGATTTAGGGTTTCGGGGTTCCTTGAAGGGTTCCTTTAAGGGTTCTTTTGGGGCTTTACCCTAAGGCTCCCTGTGCCCATATAGTATATACTTAGGCCATAAAGTGCCCATATAGGGATCTCTAACATACCCTAAAACGACAACCCTGAACCCTCAACGCCTTACTTGATTCCTTGACCTCAAGCCCTCAAAGTAAACGCGAAATCTCTAAACTCTAAACAAAAAGCCCTATGCCCCTAAACCCTAAACCTTCTCAGGGGCCCTAAACCCTTAAACCCAGCTTAATTCCCTAAGCCCTAAACCCCTGAAGCCCACCCCGACGCCCAGGGTCTGGGCCCTTCTCCCGGGCGTCGTCTACGCAGGCGCTGCGGGGGGTGAAACTTATCAGAAGGGCTTCATACCCAACAAGGTCCATCTTCTACCATGAGAGTTAGGATTAGGGGGACCCTTGGGGATATAGACCCTCTCAATAAGGCCCCTTTTAAGAGAGCCAGAAGTAGGGTTCAGAAGGGGTACCCTTTAAGGGGTCCCCCTAATTATACTACCCATACTACCATTATGACTTATGGGCCCCTAAAGACCCCAAAGGCTCCATGTACCTTTATATTCAGTAGAGACTTGAGCCTTACAAGGGGTCCCTATATGAGCACTTTATGGCCTAAGTATATATACTATATGGGTACATGGAGCCTTACGGGACCATCCTTACAAAGGTCTTGGGGGACAATTCGATGACAGTTGTATACTTGGATCCTCTTGGTAAGTGTCCTGTTGAGGATTCCTGTTTTCGAGTTCAGGGGTTTAGGGTTCAGTCAGCTGTCGAGGCCTAAACAAGTAAATGAGGTCTTTTGATGGGGTGATTGTCATGCTGCAGCCTTTCCAATTGCGTCACTAGGGAGCCTCATGTTGTCGTGGAGCTGTCGTCTCGTCGGGCTTGATTACATTTAAAGAAGAAACCCGAAGGTGTCCGCTTGTGTACATTCGTTGATCATGGAGCATTGTGTTTTGGACACTTTGAGATGTGCACGTCGGGTCGGTGTTTTCTGTATTTCGGAAACGAGCAGTGATTGTTCAGGTCAAAGGGTTTCTGGTTTATGGATTTAGGCTACAATATTCCTTAAATCATATTAGGGGTCCTACTACATCTTAAGGTATATTTCTTGATTAAGTAGGGTCTTCCTAATGAGTCAGAGAGTCGCTTCCCCAAAGTTTGTTCCCGAAGGCTGGGCTCGTCCCAGAGACTTGTGACTTTCATCCCAAAAAAGCAGGACAACTCTTTAGTTGAAGAGTGCACCTTAAAGCACAATGAGGAGCTCTCTCTCTCTGTCTCTCTCTCTCTCTGTGTCTCTCTCTCTCTCTCTCTCTGTCTCTCTCTCTCTCTCTCTCTCTGTGTCTCTCTCTCTCTCTCTTTCTTTCTGTCTCCTAGTTTCAGAAAATTCCTTGATAAAGGAGTTCTGGAGGCTCTGTGTACGCCAGGCTCAGTTGGGCCATTGTTAGCCCTGAGGCCAGTAAACCGTAGGTCTGTCCTAAACCCACCTGTAGGTCAAAACGCCTTTGTTTGAGGAATGAAACGAGAAGCACATCAGAATAAGAACGGCTATTAGCGTTGTATGCTTGCTTGTCTGACCTACAGTTAAGCCCCAAGCCAGGAAAGACCTGAAACTGCCAAGCAAGACGGGACAGGACTCCTTCACTACCAAAACATCAGCGACAAGCGGGTGATGCCCAGCTACAGCCGCCTCCATGCATTGCCTCAACCCTCAAACCCCCAAATCCCTAAACGTCCTAAACCCCCACACCCCTAAAACTGAGACCCCAAACCTCACACCCCGAAAACCCTAGAACCTGAACCCCAAACCTCCACACAGCAAAACCGTACACCGAAAAGGAGAAAACCCCACCACCCTAAACCCCCAAAACCCCTAAAACCCTAAATCCCCACACCCTAAACCCTGCAAACTCCTCAACACTAAGCCCTATAAGGTTCTGGAGCGGAATACAATTTCTTCTACAGAGATTCACAGAGTCCCCAAGCATCTGCGAGGATTCATATTTCAAAGCACATTGTTTTTGTTTTGCGTTGTTTGAGGCCACGTCTCAAATCTAGTAGCAAGTAACCCAAAGTCAGCAACCCAATGTCTCATCAACCCAACTTCCGTGGGAATCGAGTGTAGCTGCTGGTACTGAGCCGCGCGGGCGGGATCCGTGGGGCACCAGCTTAACTCTAGCAAATGCAAGAGTCCGATCCATGAGCGATGCTATTCCACCAGGGTAAGTCCATGATTAGTTTCATGCCCTAAGGGTGCTAAGGGTCCATGCACCCAAATAGTATGTACTTTGGGCCCAAACTGTATATGTTTCTATATGTACAAATTTATGGCCAAAGTATATACCATTTGGGCACATGGACCCTTAAACCCTAAACCCTTATAGTAGTATCATTATGGAACCCTTATGGTGCCCCAAAAGGAGCCCCATTTGTGTAGATGGACCCTTAGGGACGATCTGAATAGAAGGCTCCAGCTGGCAGCAAAAGCTCGGAACCCGAGCCTCATATCACTACAACTCAAACGGGAGTTTCCGAAAGTTAGGGGTATCTTAGGGTTCCTTGAAAGGGTTTAGAGTTTCCGAAAATTAGGGGCACCTTACTTTGGGGTCCTTAGAACAAGGATCCTCCTATTTAGGGTACCATGTTAGCGTCCCCTACTTTCGGAAGCCCCCAAACCCTAAACCCTAAACCCTAAACCCCCCCCATCTGGTCCCCTAAGGCCCTGTTCTAGTTATGAAGGCCCCTGACCCAGAGACTCCCATATGGGAGTTTCCGAAATTAGGGGTACCTTAGGGTTCCTTTAAAGGGCTACTGTAAGGGTACTATAAGGGTTCTATAATGGGGGTTAGGGTTTAAGTTTAGAGTTTCCGAAATTAGGGGTACCTTATTTTGGGGTCCTTCTAATAAGGATCCTAGTATTTTGGGTGCTAGATTAGGGTCCCCTATTTTCGGAAACTCCCATATCCCTTGGCTGAGGAATATTCCTTAAATCATATTAGGGCTTCGAATTCAAGGTATATTTCTGATTATTAAGACCCCCCCTGAACCCTAAGGAATCTACCTTTTTAGGGTTCCCTAATATGATTTCTTTATGTAGGTCCTTAAAAAGGTAGGTTACTGGGGGTTAAGGAAGCTACTTTTGTAGAATTCCTTGTGGCACCCTTCAAGGAACCTTTAAAGTGCCCTTATAGGACCCCTGTATATTCCTAATTATTGCCCAGAGAACCCAATACCCCTTAATGAAGGAATATACCTTAAATCATAATATTAAGGCCCCTTTAATTTAAGGTATACTCCTTAATTAAGGGGTATTGGGTTCTCTGGGTAAGGCCCCAACATTACAACTCGAAATGTCACATCCACCGTCCGAGGCAGCCTCCACGTCGCCATTGGCTGCATGATAGGCAAGGCTTCCTTTTAAGGGATCCTTGTAAGGGTTCCGTTTATGGGTTCCTTTTAAGGGTTCCTTTTATGGGATCCTTCTAAGGGTTCCTTTTATGGGCTCCTTTAAAGGCTCCTTTAAAGACTTTAAAGGGTTCCTTTTAATGTGGGTGTCGGTTTTGTAGCATAGGCTCCTTTAATGCGTCACGGCCGGGGCTAATTCCGAATCCGAGTAAATTTTTTGGTTTACTAATTAATGCGTTTTTTTTGGGCTGGGGGGGCTTTTTTGGTGGCGGGGCTGTGCTTTTTGCTGATGGTCAATCTTAAGGCAGCCACGACCTAAACCCCCACCCAAACCCCCACCCAACCCTAAAACCCTGGCCCTGAAGCCCGAAAATCTCTTGCAGAATTGTTTCGCTTATTGGGGCGTCAGGAATGAAAATCTGTACTACTACTGTACTACTACTGTACTACTATTCTACTATACCTTGATTATTGGGGGGGGCTGGGGGGCTGCTAGGGTGAACCGCCGAATCGGGGATTGGACCCTAGCTCAAAAGAGGCCTCTCCAGTACTAAAGTTTGTAAAAAAAATTAAGTTTTGGGTCGAATCTGGACCGACCCCCCTTTGGAAGGGTTTAGGGCTTCGGGTTTAGGGTTTGTTATAGGGTTTAGGAGTTTAGGATTCGTTAGGGTTTAGGGTTTGTTAAGGTTTAGGGTTCAGGGTTTAGGGTTTCAGGCGCTGGCTTTATGCTTTGCTTATTGGGGGAATGTGCTCACTGGCTTTATGCTTTGCTTATTGGTACTATTTCTGTACTATTACTGTATTACTACTGTACTACTGTACTACTGTGGTACTACTACTGTACTACTAGTGTACTACTGTACTACTATTGTACTACTACTGTACTATTACTGTACTACTATTGTTCTACTGTACTATTATCGTACTACTACTGTACTACTATTGTACTACCACTGTACTACTGTTGTACTACTATTGTACTACTGCACTATTATTGTACTACTACTGTACTACTACTGTACTATTATTGTACTACGGTACTATAATCGTACTACTACTGTACTACTACTGTACTACTATTGTGCTACTATTGTACTACTGTACTATTATTGTACTACTACTGTACTACTATTGTACTACCACTGTACTACTGTTGTATTGCTATTGTACTACTGCATTGTTTTTATACTACTACTGTACTACTACTGTACTACTATTGTACTACGGTACTATTATCGTACTACTACTACTGTACTACTATTGTGCTACTATTGTACTACTGTACTATTATTGTACTACTACTGTACTACTATTGTACTACCACTGTACTACTGTTGTCTTACTATTGTACTACTGCACTATTATTGTACTACTACTGTACTACTACTGTATTATTTCTACTGTACTACTATTGTACTACTGTACTATTATTGTACCGCACCAAGCTTCATACGTGGTCGATTGTGGGTGGGAGTGTGGGAGTGTAGGTTAGGGAGGCAAAAGTGTTCAAAATGAAGGGTTTTTAGTTTTGGTAGTAATCTTGGAGTGATCGGGGCTTGGTTTCCAGCATTTGGTGATCCCCAGACCCCCCCGACCCCCGACCGCGCATTCGCGCAGAACCGCAGACCCTGCACCCAAGCCAGCCCCCAAACCCCGGCACCTCCCAATTCCCTGCCACTCAGACCCCTGACCCCTGTCCGGCGTCACCGGCTCCATACTAAATAGAATTTTGTGTTTTTGGTCGGCGGGGGGGGGTACCCTACTACTAAACCGACACCCACATTAAGGGTTCCTCTAAGGGTTCCTTTTAAGGGTTCCTTTAAGGGTTCCTTTCAAGGGTCTATAAGGGCTGAGGATGTTGTATAACCCTCCGTGTCTGGATAACGCAGCCGCGAATATGTCATCACAGGATAGCCACTGAAGCGAGGAAATTTCAATGAAGCCACAAGTATGTCATCATGGGATGGCCGGATAGCCACGTTTAAGCAAAGAAATATCAATGACTGTGGCTCCGCATTGATCTTGGACTCACGGACAACAGTTGCGTGCCTGCTGCTGCTGCTGCTGCTGCTGCCGCGGCTGCTGCTGCTGCTGCTGCTCCTAACCGATCTCGACGACCACCTACTACTACTTTTACTACTTTTACTACTTTTACTACTTTTACTACTACTACTACTACTACTACTACTGCTACTACTGCTACTACTACTACTGCTACTACTACTACTACTACTACTACTACGACTACTACCACTACTACTACTACTACTACTACTACTACTACTACTACTACCACTACTACTGCTACTACCACTACTACTACTACTACTACTACTACTACTACTACTACTACTACTACTACTATTACTACTATTACTACTATTACTCCTACTCCTACTCCCACTGCTACTGCTACTGCTACTGCTACTGCTACTGCTACTGCTACTGCTACTTCTACCACCACTACTACTGCCAGGACAGCCTAGTACTGCCACTGCTCATGCTCATGACCATTCAGAGTTGTTCTGCCGCAGGATGGGTCCTAGTTTAGGTGGCTGCATATGGGTGGTTATCAAAATTATGGTCCCTTTTTAGGTGCCTATTATCGGCGCCTGGTATTTAGGGTATGCAAAAAGGGACCCACCCATATGGGGTCCAAGTACTGCAGGGGCATTGCTTTAATGTTCACGGTGCAGGGTTCTCTGGGTTTCTGAAGTTGCATTGTCCTTCGTCTGTGGGTTTCAATTCCACATAATCGGGACCCCCAGAAGGAGCTCTCAAATCAAAAGAGAGTGCCCTTGTCAATTCAACAAAACCTCTAAGCCCTTAAATGATTCATCCCAAACCTTTAATTACACACTTACTCGCACGGTCCTGACACCGCGTCAGTAAGCAACGAATGGACTCATCAATATGGGAGCATGCATACCTACCAATTTGCTAGTGAGTGTTATATTGTAGTATGCCTCACAACTCCTCTTCCAACTATTACGCCCCACGCATCAGATAGAAAGGAGGGGAACCCCAAATGGCATTAGGATGTTTAATAATGGCCTACTAGGCAAGCAGTACTGCTTGCCTCCGAAGCCAACCGCGGTCGTTGGGCCAACAGCCCAACAACAACATGTGGCCTTTGAGCTGTCCTAAGCCCCCTACCACAAAACCCTCCTGCCCTGAACCCTAAACCTAAACCGAACTGCCAGGAATTATCTCCCACGGAATCCGCTACCGGCAACTGTCGCGCACTCGCCGACATCTCGGTTTCGGATCGAGGCCTTCACCACTAAATCCCCAAAACACTGGATAATACGACCAAATCGCAGAAATATTGAGTCCTGTCTATAAGTGCGTCTAAATTCCTGTTTAAGTATTTTTTGCAGGGGCTGTACGGCTCTTATAAAGGTCCAATTTCGCGTTAGGGCTCTTATAGATATCCTATCGGGTTTCCTTTTTAGTTGGGCCAAATGGCCCATAGACAGATCCGAAAAGCCCTAGGCTTTTTAAGGTTTAGGGTTTAGGGTTTATAGGGATTAGGGTTTAGGGTTTAGGGTTTAGGGTTTAGGGATTTTAACCCGTGTCATTAGTAGATGTTTTTGCAAAGGATTGTTTTGGGAGGGCCTGTTTGTTTGGAAGTGAGGGCCTTCTGGAGGACATCCCCAGAGATCCCAATACCCCTTATTTAAGGAATATGCCTTAAGGGTTTAGGGTTTAGGGTTTTGGGTTTTGGGTTTAGGGTTTAGGGTTTAGGGTTAAATCATAATATCAAGGCCCCTACAATTTAAGGTGTACTCCTTAGTTAAGGGGTATTGGGTTCTCTGGTTCTCTGGGTCAAGGCTACCGCCCAGAAACCCTGAAATATGAAACCCTAAAGCCGCTCACCACCCGCCTCCTTCCCCAAACGGTTTAGGGTTTAGGCTTTAGGGTTAAACTTCTGACCCTAAACCCCTAAACCCCTAAACCCTAAGCCCTAAACCCTAAAGGCTTCAGGGTTAAACCCTAAACGGCCGTGGGTTTCCCTATGCCTTTTGCACGGACAGCGACGCCGCATTCGCCTCCCGGGTCATGGCTTTCTGATCTTTGGCGTATACAGGGAACTCCAGAAAGTTGGAATATGATTGCAGGGTAGGATACCTTATAACTTACCATAGAAGGGTTAGGATAATCATATTCCAACTTTCTGGCTTTTACTGTACCTGCTCATGAACTCGTTCAAGATAGTGAAGCCGGACGTGCTCCACTCTGCAGTAAACGCGATGTCATGGTACTTGACAAAGGTCATGGTCTTGCCCATAAGCCAGATCCTCACTTGTGTGGAAATCCGGAGCGCCACAGGTGTAGACACCTCGAGCAAGCTCTGCCCTGAAGCGCTGTTGCTGATTTTTTTCTTTGGTTCAATCACGAGACCCTCAGACGTTAAGTCTGAGCTTTGCATTCAGATGTTTTTGTACTATATGTGTTTTTTGTTTGTTTTGGTTTGTCCTTATTGGCCTTTATGCTCAGACTCATGTAAAGCCTTAAGATAGTCTAAACCCCGGGGAAGAAAGCCGCGAAGTTCACTCAATGGGCACTGTGTTCTTTGCGAGAGAACTCATACTTTAGAAGGGGCCCCCACTCTGTAATAGTGGTATAATAGGAATATAATGGGGCCCTAATAATCCCCAATATAATCCTTATGGTCACTATTACAGGGTGGGGGCAGCTCCTAACTCACACTGCTTGAATAGCCTCCAGAGCCGAGCTCGGTATCCGGCTAAGTTAGGGACCCAAAAAAGCACATAAGCATAAGCATTTTATAGGGATATATTCCGGGTATAGAAACCCCACGTTCTACTGCACAGGTACTTAGGACCCTTTGGGTGTTCAGGTTGATTCATAGATGTTTGTTTCCGAGTCTGTTCCATCATTCAACCTACTTGAAGGATCATGGAACTTAGTAAGTATGGTTATAAGTACGTTAATTGGGGTTATAAGTAATATAACTGGGGTCCAAGTAGTGCTTGTGTATGGTTTTCCTACCCAGTCCCCAAAGTCAGAAACGGAGTGCTTGGACACTTAAGGTATACCTTGAACCACGGACTAGTCCTTGTTTACCGGACTTGGGCTCTTTTTGCTTGGGACCTGACTTCTGCAATACTGGCTGCTGATAACATCTGCCAAAGCACGGAACCCACATGTTCCATGAGTGAGTACTAGGATGCCCAGCGGTACCCTTATTCCCTTTTCGTAGTCCTAGGTTCCTTATTAAGTTACCCAATAACAAGAAGGGAGCCCTTTTTATTCCTAGGTTACTGGGCATCCTAGTCATAGTCAGACCCGAAACCCTAAACCCCTAAACCCTAAGCCCCTAAACCCTAAACCCCTAAGCCTTAAGCCCCTAAGTCCCAAACCCTGAACCCCAACCTGTTTGTTCTATGGATGGGTATGACCATGGGTTGACAGGCAGATGAGTGGGGTAAGAAGTTCTCATGTCTCGTGATGTAAGGGTGTTGCTTCTTAGAAGAGCGTATGCAAATATACAACAGTTCGAGCATCTCGATCAGCCCTGACTTTCGGCAGATCTTACAGCAAAAACCGTTATTTCAGACTTAGTAGCTGAGTGGATTCACTTTACACTTGTTGGGATAATATTACCCACTAAAAAACTGAAAGTGTACACTTTTGGGGGCTTATGAACTCAGCAAAGCAGAAGTAGGCCCTAAACTAAGCCTACACCCCAAGTCCTAAATCCCAATGAAAGTCCAAGCCCAACACCCTCAGGACAGAACTAACGACATGTCAGGGTTGAAGCACTCGTGCAAACCTAGACTCTCCGGCTCGGCGGTCCCAAACAGCACTTGTGCATATGTGACTCCACCTTAACCGCGCTTTCAATCTAGGTTTCAGGCTTTATGGGTTTGGGGTTCGCAGTTCCTTGGGGTTGGGGCCCACATTTAGGGGAGTTTCCGAAAATTAGGGGTACCTTGGGGGTCCTTACAATAAGGATCCTACTATTTGGGAACCGTGGGGTATTCTATTAGGGTGCCCTGTTTTCGGAACCCCCCCCCCATTTAGGGGAGTTATCAACTCAGGATGCCCAGTAGTACCCTTGTTCCCTTTTTGTAGTCCTAGGTTCCTTATAAAGTTACCCAATACCAAAAAGAGAGCCCCCTTTTTATTCTTAGGTTACTGGGCATCCTAGTCATAATCAGACCCGAAACCCTAAACCCCTAAACCCTAAACCCCTAAACCCTAAACCCCTAAGCCTTAAGCCCCTAAGTCCCAAACCCTAAACCCCAACCAATTTGTTCTATGGATGGGTATGACCATGGGTCCACAGGCAGATGTTCCTAAACCCTAAACCCCTGAACCCCTAAAACCCTGAGCCCCTAACCCCTAAACCCCCCGAACCCTAGACCCCTAAACCCTAAACCCCTAAACCCTAAACCCCTAAGCCTTAAGCCCCTAGTATATTATGGTACCCTTATAGATCCCTTATAGTACCCTTTTTAAGGGACCCCTTTAAAGGAACCCTGGGTATCCTAGCAACTCACACGCCCCCTTTACCAAGGCCTCCGCAAGGACCTGCCAGCAGGGGCATGAAACTGCATTGGTAACTTACCATGTATGGTTTTAGGGTTTAGGGTTTATGATATAAATCCTGCATTACCTTAAGGACCCTAAACTGTGGGAACTATGGGATATTCCTTATTATTGGTAATGCCGGATTTATATCATCAACCGAAGTACTCCCTATTATGGGACTTTAGGGCCTTTTTAGGTATCAAAAACCAGAAAAAGGGATTACTTGAGCCCTTAGGGAACTTTATGACTAAGTGCTATGTTAAGAGATCCAGACACTCCAGTATCCCTAAATTATATGAGGAATCTGCCTTAAACCATGGCAGGATCCCTAATATGGTTTAAGGAAGATTCCTGAATCTTACTGGCTGTAAACTAAACTTCTCAACTTTGGGGTTCTTATAAGGTGGTCGATTCTGACAGTTTCAGCGTTTATTCCCTTGAATTTTGGGCCAGTGAGGTAAACCCTACCTGGACCCCAAAAGTACGTAGAATGGCAGGCTTTTATAGGTATCGAGCCATGGTTTTACCTACTTTGGGGGGTTTAGGGACAAGCCCTCAACCGAGTTTCTGTTCGTTCGAACTGTTCGGTTTAGTGCATTGAAGTTTTGATGGCAGTAGTTGCTTATGTCGTCAGCTGAATCCAGGTTTCAGGGTTTGGGACGACAGAGTGTGTGTGTGTGTGTGTCAGAAGCCCAACTACACCAATACCCCATCTCCGAACCTGGTATAACTTTTTAGGATTGTATGGTTTTGGGTTTAGGGGGCACTACTGTTGGTGATATAAATCCTGCATTACCTTAAAAGACCCTAAACTGTGGGAATTATGGGATATTCTATTCCTTATTATGGGTAATGCAGGATTTATATAATCAATCGTAGTTGTCATCGCCGTTCGCTCTTTCCAGTGAGGTTTTGATGATCATGTTGTTGGTGCCGCTGGTGCCCAGAGAGCCCAGTACCCCTTAATTAAGGAATATACCTTAAATCACTAGGGGCTTAATACTATGATTTAAGCTGTATTCCTTCATTAAGGTGTATTGGGCGCTGCTGGTGGTTGCCCGAAACCCGAAACTCGAAGCCCTCAACATCCAACCTGCAACCGCATGGACCTTGTAAAAAAACATGACAATTGAGCCGGTAAGCTCTGTCCAAAGAGACAAGAACCTCAGATCCTAAAGCTAGACTTTATCCCGAGCTGAACGCAACAAACGTGCCACAGGCCCTAAACCAAAACCCCTATCCCACAAAGCCAAAGAAGCCCCGTACCACCTGGCTGCCACTTGTCGGGACTGCAGGATATCCACAGCTTTGTCCAGGAGTTGTTGAGGAACAATCCGAAACCAGCTGCTGAAGCCGCAACTCTCGGGTTAAGGATTTGTCTATTCGGGCTCGGAATACATAGCAGTACTATTCCGCACTCATTTTGACCTATAACACACACCAAAACTCTATTCTAGTTAATCCGGCCCCTCTTGCTCTCTCCGAGTTGAGGGGTTCCGATTTGGCATGGGGCTTCAAAGTCTAGAGTTTAGGTTCTAGGAACCCTCCCTACAAAGGTTTGGGGCTTAATAATATAATACGGTTTAGGGTTGGCCTCCGAAGCTATAAGTTTCGGTGGTCCGGGGCTACAGATTAGCGCTTGAGGGTTTGATGGTTTAGGGTCGTGTAGGGGTTACCCAACACAACCAATCTACCTCGTGTTGGAGCCTGAGTACCGACACGGTTTAGGGTTTCGACGATTCAGAACCATATGACGTTTCTAAGACGGTGTTTCGAGGGTGCTGGTAGGGACTAGGGGTAGTGCTCTTCTGTTTCCAGGTGTACGCAGAGACTCCCGAAGCCCTTCACCAAGGAATATACCTTAGTTTATGAGGGGATCCTTACTGTGACTTAATTAACCCTACAAACCCCAAACCCTCAAACCCTAAACTCAGAACCCCTACAGAGCCTGAACCCTAAACCCTCAAGCAAATGATAAGGTAAAAGCCAGAAAGTTGGAATATGATTATCCTAACCCCTTTAAGGTAAATTATAGGGGATCCTACCATGAATCCATATTCCAATTTTCTGGAATTCCCTTTAGGTTTTAGGGCTTTAGGGTTAAACGTAGTCCTAGGTTCCTTATAAAGTTACCCAATACCAAAAAGAGAGGCCTTTTTATTATCAGGGTTACTGGGTATCCTAGAGAGGGTTTTGTCAAGTCAGGTTCGATGCCCCCGGGGACCGAGCCGTGCCATCCGCGCAGGCCAGGCGACCGCGCTACAGAAGAATAGGTTTAGGATTTAGGGTTTTCAAGCCAGGATTTGGGCGTTTAGGTATTTAGGGATTTAGGGTTTAGGGATTTAGGGTTTACAGGGATTTATAGGTATTTAGGGATTGAGAGTTTAGGGATGTAGGGTTTATAGGGATTTAGGGTTTCGGGATATAGGGTTTAGGGTCTATAGGGATTAATTAGGGGTTCGGGGATGTAGAGTTTAGGGCTTCGGGGTTTAAGGTCTATAGGGGTTCTTCAAAAGGGATCTCGAGAGGATTTGTAAGGGTTGCTCTGAGGGCTCTACAAGGGACCCGAAGGGGCTTCTTATGCTAGGATTCTTCAAAAGGGTTCCTTTAAAGGAGACCTTAAAAGGAACCCTAGTATCGATCCCTGAAAGGAGCCCCTGAAGGAACCCTGTTATGGATCCCTTAAAGGAGCCCTTAAGGGGCGTAAAAATCCTGCATTGCCTTAATGGCCCTCGAGGGTGGGAATGACGCTAAGTTCCTGATTTTGGGTAATGCAGGAGTTAAATCATAAACAGTAGGATATACTTCGGCCTGTAAGTCGTCCCTACGTAGGTCCTGTAGGGCCAAAGTATATACTACATGGGTGCACGGGATATGAAGAGGGTTTTACGATCAGGTTTTTGGAGGTTTACGGTCAGGGTTTGCGGATTTACTGAGGTTGGAGTAGGATTCAAGGATTAAGCCTGGGTGGAGGGTGTAGGATTTGTGATGCAGGGGTTAAAATACAAGGCTGGCCTACTAAACTCGGAGGTTAGGGGGTTTATGTTGTGAGATTCTGCTGGTTGATAAACGGAACCCCTTTAGTGGTTCTTGTCTTGAAGAGACAGGGCTGGGTGTAGCTTGCAGGGCGGGTTCATAAGCTTGGAGTGTACCAGCACCCTCAAGTCCCTGTAATTTGCAGCAAGCCTTGGGAGAAGATCTCGGAGCTCCAGGCTTTTGGCTGTTTACGCTGCGGATTTGATCGGTGCTATATGGGAGTTTCCGAAAACAGGGGACCCTAATATAGTACCCCAACTAGTAGAATCCTTATTATAAGGACCCTTAAACAAGGTACCCCAAATTTTCGGAAACTCCCATATGTCGGGTGCTCCCTTTGCAGGGAGAGCTCTAGAAACGGGAGAAGGACCTGGAGGATGTCCAGAGCAGGAACAAGAACTTGAGGATGCTGGTCAACGACCAGTTTAACCGCATTTTCAGAGACTCCAATGTCCCTTAATTAAGGAATATTCCTTAAATCATATTAGGGATCCTACGATTATAATTCAAGGTATATTCCTTAATTAAGGTCAATTGGAATCTCTCGGTCCAAGGCTTGGAGAAAGACGGTTTAGGGAACCCTAAACCCTAAACCCTAAACCCCTCAAGAATTAGCAGGCTGGGGTTCCTTGCAGTTCCTTCCTTGATCATAGAGCCCTTACAGCCCTCAATTGTGGGTATTTCGGGTATACTAGACTGTAGTTAGGGGGTCTATGTAGGCTTTGAAGTTGAGGGTTTCGAATTTAGGTATTTGAGCTTTTGGGTGTAGTTTAGTCGAAGGTCAAAGGGCTTTAAAACCCCGACACAAAAACAGTTTGGGGTTTAGGGTTTGGGGTTTAAGGTTTTGAGGTTCATATGATGCCTGCAGAGGCCTGGTAATTGCTGGCATCGCTGTTGATTTAAAACCGTATGAATCTCTGATGAAACGTTACAACAACGTCAAACCCTAAACCCCTAAACCCTAAACCCTGACGAAAAGCTCTCTGGGTAGGCCAGTTGTGGCAGTTTTTCGACTTCTTCGGCGGGTATACCGGTCCAGGAAGGACGATGCCACTAGCCTCAGCTACTGTTTTAAGGCCATTCGGGGGGTCAGGGTTGCTCAATAGGTCCAGGGGCTTGGGGTCTGGGAAGGCGTAAACATGATATCAGACAATGACATACGTACCTCTGTATACTCATAGATGTAATGTGTGTGTGTGTGTGTGTAAGTTTGAAAGCCTTTGTGTAACAGAGCTTGGTCAATAGCCATGTGTCAGTAGTGGCAACAAGACCAAAATCAAATCGGTCGCACTGCGCTTTAGCCGCTGTCGTGTCCTGGTGGTCGTCATGGCAGAGGCTTCACGACTAGTCCTCGTCATACTGCATTGTGCATTTCTTAGTGCTGCCACTTGCGGAACTGCGCGCGAACAGCATTGCAAGCAGCAGAAGCAGCAAACATGCGGCTCAATAGTACGAGCAGCAGCAGTAGCAGCAGCAGCAGCTGCTGCGGCAGCAACACCAGTCGTAATGGTAGCTTGCAAGCTGAACAGCAAGCTGCAGCAGAGCCCTAAACTATCCTAGACCCTAAACCCCGCCGCCATTAGTATCAGCACCACCACAGCTGTGTTGCGGGAGCATTGGAGAGCACTGCACTCTGGCCTGCAAGAACTTTACCTCGCTTTTTGCGGACTAAAGTTGCACGCCTCATCCCTAGGGGCTCCGGCTGCTGAAAGAATTGAAATAATGGGTTACTACCCTAAGGCCTCAAAGTAGTTCCTTTTTGGGTTTCATATTTAGAATCCTATAAGGTAATCCCAAAAAGGAACTACTTTGGGGCCTATGCGTAATCATCTAATATGTAACCCAGGCACCCAGTCTTAAGGTAACCGTAGCCCCAGGGGATGATACCGTTACCACGCACTGGCCAAACACTAAAAGAATCCTGTAGCGCCTACCCTAAGGCTCCATAGTAGTTCCTTTTTGGGGTTCAAATTTAGAATCCTATAAGGTAGCCTCAAAAAGGAACTACTGCGGAGCCTCTGGGTAGAATGTAAAAAGCCCAGGCATTGCGTCTGCCAGAATCCTATAACAACCATGAGATTATGCACAGCCCAACACCCCAATCCCCATAGCCTCAGGTGACCTGTAGCAGCCTGAGTGTACACTCACCTTAACAAATACATTGAAGTTGATGAACCTGTATTTCATACCCATTTTTAACCCTCAAATTACCAAATTACCTTATAGATCTGTCATAGTCGTACCCTTCACCCCCTGGAAAGCACATTTATCATGTATAGATTTGTGATATAACCTTCCTACCCCATTATAGAAGTATATCCCTACGTATCATGTAAGGTACCCAAAACCCTAAACACCCCTAAACCCTAAACCAATGTAAGGTACTACGTCTGCCACAACATCATCCTCCCGCTCACGTGCCCCTTCAAGCTCTCCTATGCAGAGCTGGCCCGGGGGGGAGCCGTCGGATTTTTTCGGACTGGGGTGGGGGGGGGGGTTGATCCAGCTGCGTCGGGTTTGTTGTTGTGAGGGTGTCGGGTTTAAGGGTTAAGGGTTTATAAGGTGTTAAGGGTTTAGGGTTTAAAGTTCTGAAAGCGTAGGCTTCTTGCAGGGGTCTTCGTGTGATTGCTACAGGAGTTTGTTTGCAAGAGGTCCTTTTTCGGGAGGATCCCAGCAGCGGGGACTACACTAGCGCCCTGAATTTGGTAAACTTCCGTTTAGTGTCGGGTAGCGATCTCGGGAGGTTGCGGAACACAGTAAGATTTCAGCGGCTTCGGGCTTTGGGCTTTGGTTTCGCGCCTAGGATTTAATTGGGAGTTTCCGAAAATAGGGGTACCTTATTTCGGGGTCCTTATAATAAGGATCCTACTAGTTAAGGTACTATATTAGGGTCCCCTATTTTCGGAAACTCCCAATTAGGCTTCAGGAGTCAGGGTTTAGTTGGGTTGAGTGCTTGGGGATGTTGGCTTTCGGACTGTAGGGATAGGTTCCACGCCTGGTCAAGGTCGGTTTTGGAGTCCCCAAAGCCTACACCCTACCTGAAGGACCAAATGACCGGTAAAAGTAGGGGCCTAATACCCATGTACTATGAATCCCTATATGATACGTATATGAACCTTAAACACTTTTAGGGTTCATTTCGTCCTTAAGGTAATGCTCTTTGAAGCCTAGCTGCCTTTCGCAAGTGTGCCTTGAAGAGATTACTTAAAGGATAGTCTAGGACCCAGAGTAGGCCCTTATTCCCTTTCTTAGGGTTTAGGTTCCCTTAGAACGCCCTTTAGACCAAAAAGGGCACCCTTTTTATGCCTAGGTTACTCTTAGGTCTAGTAATGGGACTTAGTAATTGGGGTTACCCAGTGCGCTGAGAGGAAGCCCTTGTGGCTGTACTTGGAGGATCATGGGACTTAGTAGGGTTATAAGTACCTAAATTGGGGTTATAAGTAATTATAACTGTAGCACCTTACTTATATCCCGACTTACTAAGTCCCATGATCCTTTCAGTACAGCCGGTACGTTTTGAAGGTAATAGCTGAGATCAGAAATTCACTCAGGAAGGAACATAAATGGTGACCTGCGCCAGAGGCTTCGTCGTTGTAGGCATCGGAATAGGTCAACGTTGGGCAGGAGGGTGCAATCTATTGCTTCTTGGGCTAGAGACAACAAAAACTTAGTAGCTGAGTGGATACACTTTACACTTTTTGGATAATATCACCCACTATAAAACTGAAAGTGTACAGGTTTTGGGGGCTTATGAACTCAGCAACTAAGAAAAGCATGCCATGCACCATCGGGCTCTTTCCCTTCTTCCAGTTTTCCGAGTTCTGATCCAGGACAAACGCACCTTCGTCCACTTTGACCATCCCGGTCCTCGGGCCTGAACGCCTTTCGCAAAGTTCGGCAGGCCGACGCCCTCAGTCTCGTCTTCGCCTTCGCAGCGATTCGCCGGCTAGAAGGCGTAACTATTCCAGCTACGACCGCGAAAGGCGGCGAGGCCGAGGGAACTATCAGTAGAGAGGTCTCCAGAAAAACGGCCGGGGGCTGCGCCGTGAGCGCATGCCCATTGCAGCGCTGGCATTTGCGCAGGTTTCTCCAGCCTTCTGTGGCAATTGTCGGGTTGACTCGTTTTGGACCTTGAGTTGGCCAGTGGTGGTGTCGGTGGTGGGCACCGTGGTTCAAAGACGTCGTAATTAGCAGCCAGAGCTGTCCACCAACTCTGGCTTACACGGAGCTCCTTCCCGGCATGCCAAGATGGGAGGAAGGACTTGAAGGACGCAAGGCAGACCCTGTCAATCCGAGATTAAGGCAGTTTGCGAGGAGCTGGGTCTTGCCTGCTGGAGAAGATTTGGTTAGGCTCTCCAAGGGCGTGCTGGCAATGTCGTTCCCCCAAGGGTCCAAAGAACCCAATAATTAAGTACTCGGCTTTAGGATATGTTCGTTATGTAGGTTAGGATTTTGGAGAGTGTACATATATATACATATATATGTATATATATATATATATATATTATGTATATTATGTATATTTGTTTATGTATATAAATATATATGTATATATACATATATGATTATTAGGTACTTGGACTGTTGGGGTTCGAGTTTGCAGGATTACCACGGATTCCGAGGTCCGGGAGTACCTGGAACTTCCGAGCTTCCTTGGGTTGTAGGGTTTTTAAGGTTTTAGGGATTTTGGGTTTTAGGGTTTATAGGGTTTAGGGGTTAAGGGGGTTTGGGGGTTTTAGGGTTTAAGGTTTTAGGGGTTTGGGGGTTTTAGGGTTTAAGGTTTTAGGGGTTAAGGGGGTTTTAGGGTTTATAGGGTTTATAGGGTTTAGGGGTTAAGGGGGTTTGGGGGTTTTAGGGTTTAAGGTTTTAGGGGTTTGGGGGTTTTAGTGTTTATAGGGTTTATAGGGTTCAGGGGTTAAGGGGGTTTGGGGGTTCTAGGGTTTAAAGTTTTAGGGGTTGTGGGGTTATAGGGTTTATAGGGTTTAGGGGTTAAGGGGGTTTGGGGGTTCTAGGGTTTAAGGTTTTAGGGATTTTGGGGTTTTAGGGTTTTTAGGGTTTAGGTGTTAAGGGGGTTTGGGGGTTTTAGGGTTTAAGGTTTTGGGGGTTTTAGGGTTTATAGGGTTTAGGGGTTTTGGGGTTTTAGGGTTTATAGGGTTTTGGGGTTTGAGGGTTTTAGGGCTTGGGGTTTTGGGGTTTTAGGGTGTAGGGCTTGGTTGGTGAATGATGAGTTTTGCCAGTGTACGCTGGATCTTAGTAATCTCAGCCCGGAACCGCATGCATAGGCATCTCAAATCCGTGGCCAAAGACCAACCGTAAACTCACGAAGTCCAAAGAGGCACAGCCCTGAACCCAGGTACTGGGGCTATCCCTTTCTTTCTATCTTTCCACGGCCTGTAGACACGGGTTTCTTCTGCTCTCAAGCTCAAGCCCGAAGCCTCAAAGCCCCTACGGTTGATGATGCTAATCCTGCATTACCTTAAGGACTCTAGACTATGGGAGTTATGGTATATTCCTTATTATGGGTAATGCAGAATTTATATTATCAACCGTATGCTGTGAAGCTTAATGCCCAGAAAATCCACGAATGCAGGCGGGCCCCACAGATGTCAGATGGTTCGTCTCCCACTACTGGGGGTCCGAACCTCATTTGTGGCTTCCTTTGTCGGGAACGATTCCCTTTCCACAGGTCAAGATCCCTAAACCCCAAGCCCTAAACCCTAAACCCTAAACCCCAAACCCTGACTTACCCTAAGGGTCCAGAGGACCCAATATTTAGGTACTCGGTTGGATAGTAATTATGCTGGGTTCTGGAGTACCATACTTGAATACTTTTTTGTTCGGTACCTGTTCCTTTAAGGAACCCTTATGAAAGAAAAATCTATACTTTTTTCTCCCTGGTTACTTCAAAGTCCAGTATTTTAATTATGTAGGTTAGGATTTTGCAGAGAACCCTAACTTAGGGGCTGACCAGGACCCCCCAATTGCCCTTTAATAGATAGTGGGTATTTGGGGTATATTAGAGGGTAGTTGGGGGTCTAGGGAGTAGGTAAGCTTTAGCCTTTATGGGGCTTATATAATCCTGTTTTAATTCAGATTCTCAGAAGGTTAACCTTTTTTCGGCCAGGGTACTCAGCCCCGGAGCTAGTGATGACCCTTCTGCAAGCATTTCCTAGACTTAGGCTTAAGCCCTACGTCTGAGATACTGCCCACTTTGTTCCAGCCTCAGCGAAGTGTAAGCTGCTGGCGCATGACCATAACCCCAAGGGTCCAAGTACCTAATAATCATGGACTCTCCCCAATATTACTATCCTAAACCCAAGTACAGGGAACTCCAGAAAGTTGGAATATGGTTTCTTGGTAGGATAATTACCCTGTAATTTACCTTAAAGGGATTATGATAATGATATTCCAACTTTCTGGCTTCTACTTTACCTTATTATTGGGTCCTTTGGACCCTTGAGGTAAGAGGACCACGAGGTGCCAACACGGTAAAGCCTGAAAAGCCCAAACCAGGACCCCCCCAATGGCCCTTTAATAGAGGCCTTAATGGTGGGTATTTGGGCTATATTAGAGGGTACTTGGAGGGGCAGGGGACTTAGTAAGTAGATTATAAGTAGGGTTGTAATAATAATTGGGGTAACTCCATTTAAGGTACTTATAACTCTACTTATCACCTATTTACTAAGTCCCCTGCCCTTCCAAGTAGTTGGGGGTCTAGGAACCTTCCGTCAGATCTAGACACCCTCGCAGAGGGAGTGAGGCGCGAACACACTACAATACTGCGGTTTGCCCCCGTTTCGAGGAGCGCACACCGGAAAGCAAAAAAGTGTAGAAGATGTCTGCTGCGTTTGCGGCGCGTATATTGCGTGCATGACTCTGTGCTCTGGAACGAGGCACCAGGGACCAGGTGCCTCCGGAGAGTGTCACAAAAGCTACCTAGGGTTTAGGGGTTCATAAGGTTTGAGGGTTCAGGTTTTAGGGGTTTAGGGTATCCGCAGCAAGCAAGCTATCAGAAAGATGCTTAAGCGTGAAAGCATCGACTTGGGCAGCAGTGCTGTTAAGGCTCATCGAGAGAAGGATGCTGATTATGCAAAAGCAGCAGCTAAGGCAACAGTCCGCAGGCAAGTAGAATCACTTAGAGGTCGGTCGAAACGCTGAGCATAGAGAGTATACTGAGCATTACGGTCAGTATTCTCGAGAGCCTACCAGATGGAACCATCTTCGCCATAACCTAGACTCATACGCTGCAACTCTACCTAAGCAATCAACAACCTTGACTGACATGGGCTACAAATGAAACAACACCCTTGAATAGATAGTCCCCAGATCAGATCGAACCCTCAAAATGAGAGGGTTCGGGGCCCTCAGGCAAACGGTACCTGGCGCTCTTGAGGGCTCTTGCCTTCGGCTATGTGTACAGAGTAGGAGCAAGGTTTTCCGTCGTGTTTCGGATGTTACTTTACATAAACCTATAAAGAAGCCTACTTGAAGGATCGTGGGACTTAGCAATCAGGGTTACACAGCTACAAGTACTTATGACCCCAGTTAAGGTATTTAACATCCTACTTACTAAGTCCCCTGATCCTCCAAGTAGAACACTGCTGGAATCCTGATAAAGCTTTCAACCCCTCATTCAGCAACTCCCAATTAGGCCAAGCCGACTTCCCTAAACCCCACATCCTGCACCTTCGAGATTGATCTAGTTTACAGAGCCCTTGTAAGTCGTTAAATGTAAACTAATTCAACCTTAACGCACCATCCAGGCCCTGATGCCTAAAAGCTGAATCTTCCAGATTTGTCTAGTATAAAGAACCCTTGTAAGTCGCTAGAAAAACCCAATCTTAACACATCATCCGGGCCCTGACGCCTAAAAGCCCTAAACTCTGAAGCCTGAGGACGCCCTTCAGCCACTTTGTGAGCACTGTCTGCCTGGCACCCAAAAAAGTTGTTGCGGGTTAAGTTTAGTTTAGGGTTAAGTATAGGGTTTTACGGTTTAGGGTTTAGGGTTTGACGTTTCGAATGCCTGGGAGAGAGAGAGAGAGAGAGAGAGAGAGAGAGAGAGAGAGAGAGAGAGGAAACCCTAAGCCCTAAACCCTAAACCGTTTAGAGTTTTACAGGGATCTCCCAGGCGTCTCTGTGCTTCAAAATGGGTTTAGATGCGGCCTTGGGGACCTTAGGAGCCGAGGGGGAGGGGCGGGTGCAGTTTAGGGTTTTGGGGGTTTAGGGTTTTAGGGTTTAGGGTTTAGGGTTTAGGTTTAGGGTTTAGGGTTTAGGGTTTAGGTTTAGGGTTTAGGGATTTGGGATCCTTATGATAGGGATCCTACCATTTATAGGGTACTATATTAGGGTCCCCTATTTTCGGAAGCCCCCGTTATGTAGGGCTTTCTACATATGGGTGGTTGTCAAAATTAGGGTCCTTTTTTGGGCCCCCATTATAATACGGCACCTAATGTTTAGGGTACCCAAAAAGGTACGATAATTTTGACAACCACCCATATACTACAGTAAACCCAATAAAATTGGATTTCGGATTCAGGCCGGGTAGTGCTGGGATTCCCGACACATTACTCTTCAGGATCGAGGCTGTTGGGTTTCCAAACTGTTGGGCTTCTACTATAATGTGTTGTTTATATTCTGTCATAGCTTTTTAGCAGTATCCCTGGATTTTTCGCTGTGTTGGGCTTTCTATTGAAAGCGGAACACTGGAAAACTAGGCTTGCCGTCCGGATCTGTGGTCAGAGCTTTGGGTGTAGTACAGTTGCCTTAAGGCCTCGTGTTCTCTGGTCTCCATGTCAATATACTAAATTTATCTGGAGGGGGGGGGGGGCGCAATGTATGAGGTTTCGGGTGCTAGTCTTAACCTCGGGGGTTGAGGTTTAGGATTTACAGCCCAAGGTGCACAGTTCCAATTACCCTAGATTGGCCCTAGATCCTACACATTCCAAACTCTAAGCTCTCGAGGGCCCTAAACCCTAAGGGTCCATGTACCCAAATAGGATATACTTAGGCCTTGAAGTACTCCCTATGTAGGTACATTGGGCCAGAAGTCTACAAGCCCGACGGCCGAATTCTTTGCTCGGTCGATGAGCCGGTTCTGTACAGCGATCTGCGGTGGGCGGCAACAGTGCTTTCAGGACACTCCCCCTCTTGGGGAAGATTGTTCTCATTGGACCCCGACAGGGAAGCCTTCACGAACGATCCGTCTGGGATTGTGCCTCAGGGAGCGTATCAGCTTGTGGTCAGCAATCCATGTGGTGAGGACATGTCTGTCGTTGAGCAACAGCTGATCTTGCGGGATTCCTTGGGCTCTCGACCAGTCGGCGGCCGTTCTCGTTCGGGTCTTGGAAGCCGCTAAGAGCCAGCCGCTGACAGGCGTTGGGAACCTACAACAAGCTTTGGAGCTCGCCGTTCTTCGTGGAGATGCTACGCAGGTGGCGACTCTCGCGCGCTATGTGCGATATCACCGACCTGCTTCTGAGGAGGGTGGGCTGCCGGCCCGGCCGATCCGATACACCGGTCGCTTTTGGCGGTGACAAGTGCACGGAACAGTGCTGTTGTTTATGCTATTTGGGCACATAAAGTCTAAACTACCCTAAACCCCTAAACCCTAAACCCCTAAACCCTAGACCCTAAACCCTTAAACCCTAAACCCTAAACCCTTAGGGTAGCCCAAACCCTCAGCCCCTCCTGCCCAGGCAAGCACGCCCAAGAGTCCTTCCTGACCCAGTCGGGCTGCGATGACAGCATCACCATTTGGCAGCATTTGCTGGAAGCTCATTCCCGGGTCGCTTTAATTGAGGGTTTAGGGTTTGGGACCTTGTATAGAGTTTATGGTTCGGGGTTTAGACGTACTGTAAGATTTAGCGTTTGGCCTGTAGGGTTCAGGATCTGTAGGGCTGGCGATGTAGAGGGTAGACAGTGGGCGGGTTCAGAGTTTTGGATTTCTAGGGCTTGGGTTCGAATAGAAACCTACAAACCCTTGAATTCAGTGTTACATGGGTTATATCCCTCAGGCTCCGTGTGCCCATATAGTACATACTGAGGCCGTAAGGTACCCATATAGGGACCCCTTTAAGGCTAGAGTATCTACTATAAAGGTACATGGAGCCTTTGGGTATGCATCGGACAAGCCCCTTTAAAATGGTTGCAGAGGCAAATTAGGGCTCCAACAAGATAATGTCAAAGCCCACGAGGGTGGTTGTCAAAATTATGGTCCCCTTTTTGGGTCCCTAGTTTAGTACGGCACCTAATATTTAGGGTTCCCAAGAAGGGACCCTAATTTTGACAACCACCCACGAGAAGTTCTTCTCCGTAATCTGTCTGGTGCTTACTAGGGAATGGGGGAATGGATCCCTCCAGCACTCCCTATAAAATCCCCGATAATCGCCCCCATAATCCATTCCCCCATTCCCTACTAAGAACCAGACATCAATGAACAAATGTAACCCTAAACCCTAAACCGTAAACCCTAAACCCTAAACCCTAAACCCTAAACCCTAAACCGTCTTCTCTGGGTAGTTGAAATCCTAGCCCTTTCAACTTCCCGGTCCCTACCTTAAGCCGGAATAACCTACTTTTTTAGGGTTCCTTATTATGATTTCCTTATATAAGTCCTTAAAAAGGTAGGTTATTCCGGCTTAAGGTAGCTACCAGGCAGTCCTTTGTGTGAACAATTGTCAAATTTCATTCTTGAGGGCTCTGTAATGCAAGTAAACTGTCATGTGCCCCAAACTCTGTTCCAATTCATTTCGTCCCTTTTAGGTTGCCCCAAATCCTAAACCCTAAACCCCTAGCCCCGAAACCCCTAAAGCGTTAACCTTTAAACCGTTCGGGTGGGGCGGGCTTAGGCTTTTGGGTGATGGGTTTGGGGTTGATGGTGTCGATGTGGACGACTTCCTGCTTGCAACAAGTGTTGCTGATCTTCGGTGGCAGCAATGTTTAATCTAGGGACCTTAACCCAAAGGCTCCATGTACCCATATGGTAGGTACTTAGGCCTTAAAGTACCTATATAGGGACGGCTTTAAGGCCTAAGCACCTACTAGATGGGCACATGGAGCCTTAGGGTAATAATTAGAATAGGGCTTCGGGGCCCACTATACTTTATAAAGAGAACTTCCGCCAGCCTTTCGTCTGGTCTCAATCGGAAGAGCCACCGTTTACAGTAGAAGCCAGAAAGTTGGAACATGGTTTTAGGAGGAGTAGTGCTAGGATCCCTTATACTTTACCTTAAGTACATGAGGATAATGACGTTCCAACTTTCTGGCTTTTGCTGTACGCACTGCGGTTTTCAAATCCATCAGCTCCCCGACTTTTGCTTTCGGCTACGTATGCTAAATGCCAAGCTTTGGCGAACGTCGGTCTTTCTTGCAAGGGCTGTCGAGCGTCCATGCAGAGCCACAGTCTTGGGTCATGGGTTTAGGACGAGGATTAGGCTCACGGGTTAAGGACCGAGGTTGAGGGTTTGGGGTCTGGGACAAAGGTTTAGGGTTTGGCGTAGATCCTCATGGGTCGTGAAAGGGAAAAACTGCCCGGGCGTGACCCAAGGCTATCAGGGTGGTTAGAAGGGCTCTATAAGGGTTCTATGCACAGGGCCTTTATAATTCAATCAGGGTTTGGGGGTTCTTTGACGGAATAGATGTATGTAGTGTATTTGATTCTTCCCTGAATTTGGGGGGCCTCCTGAACTTCTAGACTATAGAGGAATCCATAAAAAATCTGAGTTGAGCTAAACAGTATTCCTTTGGGGCAGCTTGGGGATTGGGGAGTCCCAGAGACTCCAATATCCCTTAACTAAGGAATACTCCCCAAATCGTAATAGAGATCCTACTATAATTTACCCTAAGGGTCCAACGGACCCAATACTTGGGTATACTCGGTTTTAGGATAGTAGTTATGTAGTTTAGGGTTTTGGAAAGTATATGGTTATTAGGTACTTGGACCCTTGAGGTCATGGTATTGCCCTTAACTGCCGGATATTGGAGTCCCCTAAACCCTAAAGCCTAAACCCTAAACCCGAAACCCTAAACCCTAAACCCTAAAGAGTTTCCGAGGTCCTACTGGGTGTGCAGCTTCAGCAACAACCAGTGGGCAGTGGAGGAGGACAGAGCTGGTGGAAGGTTCGGTTTCCGTTTTTAGAAAACTTAGTAGCTGAGTGGATGCACTTTACACTTTTTGGGATAATATTACCCACTCTAAAACCCAAATTTGACACTTTTGGGGGCTTATGAACTCATCAACTAAGGAAGTATTCAAGGCTTGGGGTCTACCCTAAGGCTCCTGGACCCTTGTAGTGAGGTCCCAAACCCTCCCCCAGAAGGCCCAAGACCCTCTAAGGAGCCTTAGGGTAGAGCTCTTGTGGTTTAGGGCTCAGGGCCTAGAGGTTTTACAGTAGAAGCCCAAAAGTTGGAAACCACATAGCCTCAATCCTTAAGAATACTGTGTAGGGAATCCCAGCTCTTTTTGGCTTTAATCCGGTTTCCAACTTTATGGGGTTTACTGTAGCATCGAGTTTTTGGGTTTTGGGCCTTGTTTGGGGGTTTGTGGTGGTTCGCTGCTGTCTGCAACACATGCCACAACCCCAACCTCCCAGACTTCATCATAATTAGACCCTAAACCATAAACCCCTAAACCCCTAAACCCTAAACCACTAGCCCCTAAACCCCTACACCCCAAGCCCCTACAAGCCTAAACCCCTAAAACCCTTAAAACCCTTAAAACCCTAAAACCCTAAACCCCTAAAGCCCTAAAACCCTAAACCCCTAAAGCCCTAAAACCCTAAACCCCTAAAGCCCTAAAACCCTAAACCCCTAAACCCCTAAACCCTAAAACCCTCAAGCCCCTAAACCTTAAGCCCCAATTGCGGCACTCGAAGCCCTAGAACATTTGATCTCCAAGCTAGCCCCGAAGCTGAAGCCACGAATCCTGAACGCCTAATGTAGGGGCCTTAATAGAGAGTATGGGGCTCCTTCTTAAAGGGGGCTATAAGGGTTACTATAATGGGCTATTATAGGGATTTAGTATAGGGGCCTGAGTAATTTGAATAGGGTTTTGGGGCCCACCATGCCCTAATTATCAGAAGGCACCGTAAACCTTAAACCCTAAAGAGCCTGGCGGTATCTCTCTGACCCCGCACATGGGCACATTAAGGGTAGAAGGGTTAGAGGTTAGAGTTCTGGAATTTGCCGTGTTCTTGCTAAGCGGCTATACTTGTTCCTAGGGGCCCATGTGCCCATATAATTGTGTATACATTGGCATTAAAGCAGTCCTTATCTTGGTACTTCGGGTCGAAGTTTATACGACATCGGTACATGGACCCTTTCCGGTAAGCTACCATCATCCGGAACTCATTCTGTCTGACTGCACGCCCCTGTTCCAAAGACCTAAGAGCTGTCCCCCAAAGAGCATGTATTCGACACCGCAGGAAGTGGGAAAGAATTGGGACGAGTCCTCTTTCTACCTGGCGATGCGCAGCGTCGGCAGCACCTTCGCTTCAACTGAGCCGGAACCCTAAACCCTAAACCCTAAACCCCTAAAGCCCAACCACGTATGAACCCTAAACCTGAAAGCCTTAAGCCTTGGAGCCGTTCTTCAAGTCACCTTAAACTGCGAGGTAAAGGTATGTACTATTACTATATACCCAAAACCCTAAAGCCCCTACGGCATCAAAACCTATGGGAACCAGTAGGAGCCCTAATGCAACCCCTGTGTTCAGAGGTAAAATTTAAGAATGCTGAAAATCTGCAGACCTTGTTGCCCCGAGAGTCAAACGCCGCTTTTTTCACACGTAGAATCCTCAAGCGAGCTCGTCAAGGAACCCTTAAACCCTAAACCCCTAAATCCCTTGCCTCCTGGCCTATGAGGCCTTGGTGTAGCATACCCGGATTGCAGGCATCAAAAAGGAGCTTTAAACAAAACCTAAATTCCCTTAATGAATAAAGGAATCTCTAAGTTCCGAGGTAAAGAGGAACCCTTAAAGGGATCCGTAACCTCCGAGGTAGAGAGGAATTTTGATTAAGAAGCCCAGCGCCTACAACCCCAGATTGGTAGAATTCATGTAAGGAACCCGAATACAGGCCCCAAGGTTTCTCAATCGGGTTCCTACATCAAAGAGGAACCCTTAAACGCAACCCCCTCTACAAACCCTATAAACCCTAAACCCCCGTAAACCCTAAACTCTACGATAGAGGGATCGTAGGGCTCCTTTAAGGGATGAAAGCAGGGTTCAGGGTCCGAGGGTTTAGGGTTACGGGCTCTAGGGTTTACGGTTTGGGCCCTCGGGTGGAGGGGTTTAAGGCCCTAGGGTTGAAGGTTTCGGGTTCTAGGGTTTAGGGTTTCGTAGGGTTTAAGGTTTAGGGATCCCTAAACTCCGAGGTAAAGGTACTGTGATGGTCTTCGATGAGGAGGCCCTGCCATTGACACGGTCCTGGTGCCTTGGCGAGACTGCGGTCCCAGAGACTCCAAGATCCCTTTAAAGGGCTCTACAAGGGTTCCTTTAAGGAGATCCCTTAAAGGGATCTATAAGGGTTCCTTTAAGGGTTCCTATAAGGGATCTATAAGGGTTCCTTCAAGGGTTCCTATACGGGATCTATAGGGCTTGCTAGACTCCAAATGTCCCTGAATTAAGGAATTCAATTCCCCTTCAATTATGGTAGGGTCCCTTATATGATTTAAGGAATATTCCTTAATTAAGGGATTTTAGGAATACTCCTTTAATACGGGATATTGGAGCCGGGGGACTGTGAGGTTGTGGGTCTCGCGTCTTGGGGGTTAGGGCTTCGGGGTTCAGAGTTTAGGTTGTACAAGGACCCTGTAAAACCCTCCCTTTTGGGCTCCCTATTGATTATCATTTCCTTACACAAGATTCTTAAAATAGTTGGCAATTTGGGGTTCAGGTAAGGTTCTGGTTTTTGCGGTGTGTTCAGGGCTTGGCTTTTGTTTTTTTTAGGGTGGGTCAGATCTTTTGACACGCAGAGATGCGCACGGGACAAGTGATCAATGCCTCTTCCTATAGTCGATAGAGCGATGCTGGCAGTGATGACGATGGTGATGATGATGATGATGATGATGATGATTATGATGGCGGCGGCGGTGGTGGTGGTGGTGGTGGTGGTGGCGGCGGTGGTGGTGGTGGCGGCGGTGGTGGTGGTGGTGCTTGTAATGCTACTGATGCTGTGACAGGATCATGGTGATGATGGTTATGGAGATTACCTTTATGATGATGATGATGGTGATACTGCTGATGGACAAAATCCTGCATGACCCTAAGGACTCGACGCTATGGGAACTATGGTATATTCCTTATAATGGGTAATGCAGGATTTTGTCCATCAGCACTAACGACAATTAGCGATGGTGGTTGTGACGATGAGAGCCATGAAGGCGGTGGCGCTCAGCGTGGTGATGCTGCTGGTGCAGCTTGTGTGTTCATATCCTCTGGGTTGTCCTTTGGGATATTTTTTAATTTACCCTAGTATTTTGTAGAGAGCCATAATAGTAAATAGTTTTCAAAGGGCTTCAAGAACAACTCAGTCCTGTATTATTTTTTGTGTTGCTGACCGTGCTTTCGTCATCATTGTTGCTGGGGGTGGCGCCGCTGGCGCGACAGCCGATCAACAGCTTTCGGCTCATCGCAGAAGTGGGGCATACCCAGAGGCTCCAAAGTAGTTCCGTTTTGGGGTTACCTTATAGGGTTCTACATATGAACCCAGAAAAGGAACTAGTATGGAGCCTTAGGGTACTTCTGTGTTAGCGTTGAGTTGCCACGTCAGCTTAATTACTACGCATGCCTGAGTAGCCGAAATCACTGGGGATAGGGGTATCTTAAATGGAGTTGATGTACTTAAAGCCCCACTTTACTTACTGAAGTATATGATATAGTGGCCTTAGGATCTTTGCTATAATTCTAACAAGGAGCCGCAAAATAGTATGGGCTTTTTTTCAGCCCCCGACAGTATGATAACCCTACACCACCCATTTGATGTGCAGTCTTGGGATCCATCCGGGGCTCCGCAAGCCTAGGTTCAAGCCGCACAAAGCAAGGTGCCCACTTGGAGGGCAGGGGACCTAGTAAGTAGGTTATAAGTAGAGTTATAAGTACCCTAAATGGAGTTACCCCAATTATAACCCTACTTATAACCTACTTACTAAGTCCCCTGCCCTTCCAAGCAGAGACTTCAGTTATATTTTAACGAATATACTCCTTATCAATTAAGGGATATTGGAGTGTCTGGGTGGTTCTTCGAACAAACGCCCTAAACCCGAAACGCCTCTGCAAGCCGTAAATCCAGACCAGCCCTCCCCTCCAAAGAGAAGGAAAGCTTGAAACCCTAAGCAAATTAAAAAGAAACAGCGAGTTTGTAAGCTCCTGAACCCCAAAGCCTGGACCCTAAAAGCCTAAACACCGCAAGCTTAAAACTGTAATACCACCACCACCACCACCACCACCACAACGAAGCAATCACCCTAAACCCTAAACCTAAACCCAAGACCTGTATCCGGATGCTCTAGAAAACCCTGGCAAAACTCTATAAAACCCTCTAGAGAATCCGTATCATAACACCCCGACCTTTGACCCTAAGCCCTAACAGGAACAGTCGACGTTCACAACACATGTGTGTTCAGATACGCCTAAGGAATAGCCGCAATATTCAACACAAGAAGTCTCCCTAAACCCTGCAACCCTAAAACCCTAAAACCTAAAACCCTAAACCCTAAATCCCTGAACCCTCAACCCTAAACCCTAAACCCTGAACCCTAAACCCGAAAACCCTGAACCCTAAAACCCTAAAACCTAAAACCCTAAACCCCTGTACGAATCCAAGGTGCCTCTTTGAGCTGCTGCAGACACAGCAGCTGAGTGGCTGAGCGGCTATTGAGGGGGCTCTGAGGTGGAGGTCATTCTGGTTTAGGGTTTAGGGTTTAGGGTTTAGGGTTTTCTAGCCTAAGGCTCCTCAGAGGGTCTTGGGCCTTCTGGGGGAGGCTTGCGGCTTTGGGGGCGAGGGTTTGGGATTTCACTACAAGGGTCCAGGAGCCTCAGGATAGGATGTCTAGAGGTTTCATCCTTGTTGAGGGTGGGTTTACTTGGGTTTTTGGCACGAGTGATTCGCCAGGTTTTTTTTTTTGTTTCGCTTCTCCCTCAATGTGTAAGGCAAGGTTCGGGGCCCGGGCTTTGAGCCCAAAACATTGGGGCTCCGGAGCTGTACCCAGAGGCTCCAAAGTAGTTCCATTTTGGGGGTTTCCCTATAGGATTCTAAATATGAGCCCTAAAAAGGAACTACTATGGAGCCTTAGGGCAGGGGTAGCAGGGCACTCGCTTCTTAAGCCCTAAAGCCAAGACGTGTCATTTCTGAAGCGGGTCCAAGTACCAAATAGCAGAGGTTCGAGGCCCCAAATTCCATACTCTGAATGGCTCTTGGTACCCAAGGCCCTACTATTCGGACGCTTGGACCCCTAAAAGAAACCCTTAAAACGCACAAGCCGGCCCGATCCTTAAGGATCATGGGGATTCACTCACAGGGTCCGTATATACTACCATTGAGGAAATTAGGCCCCCAAAACCATGATAGGGATGGTCTTTTGTTACCTAATTCCATAATGGTAGTGTACATGGACCTTCTGGGTTAGCAAGTCTGCAAATCCTTTTACCGGGGATGCAAGTAATTATCACTATGCTACCGTGCATGCAACTCAAGTTCTAGACCCAAGAGTAACCTAGGAACAAAAAGGCTGCCCTTTTTGGTTTAAAGGGGCTTATAAGGGGACCTGAATACTAAAAAAAGGGAATAAGGGCCTACTCCAGCTCCTAGAGTTGCATGTTCCATGGTCCCTCAGGCCCTACTCTCCACCTTATCAGAACCTCTATAGACCCCGATGGCAAAGCCTTAGTTGCCAAGCCCCTAAACCCCTAAACTTCCCCCAAACCCCTAAACCCCAAACCGCCGAAACCCTGAACCCTACTTGAAGGATCATGGGACTTAGTAAACAGGTTATAATTAGGGTTATAAGTCCCCTAAGTGGGGTTATCCTGATTATAACCTACTTATAACCTTACTTACTAAGTCCCATGTGCCTTCAAGTAAACCCCTGAACCCCACGAAATCCCACGATGTTTTTAAGCCCTAAACCCTAAGCCCTAAACCCTAAACCCTAAACTCTGAGCCCTAAACCCCTGAACCCCACGAAATCCCACGATCTTTTGAATGGAGCAAATTTCAAGGCCACGAGCGCCCGGGGCATTTTCTGGGACTGATGCTTTGCTCGCCGCTACCTGGACCCCAAGAGGTTTAGGGTTTAGGGGTATGTACTAGGACCTAGAGTAAGCCCTTATTCCCTTTTTTAGGGGTTCAGGTCCCCTTATAAACCCCTTTGAACCAAGAAGGGCACCCTTTTTACTACCAGGTTACTCTTGGGTCTAGTGCATTAGGATCTCCGAAATACCTTGATCAATGGATATTGGACCCCCACAGTGTCTAGAATAATCGCCTCTTATAGATGTTGAGCCATTATTTGATTTATTTTGGGGGTTAAGGTACTGGGCAACCAGTCGGATTTCGGTGCTCTTTACCAGGTGCCCGGTAGGGTTCTGTAAGGGGCACCAGAGAGGATCTATGATAAGGGTTTAGGGGCGGGGGGGCTTAGGGTTTAGGGTCTCCAGGCCTGGCACTTAGCTTTTTAGAACTTACGGATTAAATCAGGGGTTTGGGGGTGTTGAGCACAGTATGATTCAGGGTTCCGCAATATGCTTACAGCGCGGTTGTAGTAGCAAAGCCCCGTAATCCCAGCATGCTCATTTACGCCTACGCCCTTTTGTTCCCCAGAGACTCCAATATCCCTTAAAGGGAACTCCAGAAAGTTGGAATATGGATTCAGGGTAGGATCCCCTATAATTTACCTTAAAGGGGTTACGATAATGATATTCCAACTTTCTGGCTTCTACTCTAATTAAGGACTATTCCTTAAATCAGATCAGGGGTTTTGGAGTCTCTGGGTCTTTCAAGGTTAGGAGTTTCAACAGTTGTTGTGCTTCGGAGTCGAGACAGAACATTTCAGGTCTGCACTTCAAAGTGTGAGGATTTCGACCGGCGTGATTTAGGATCCAGGGCTTCGTGGTCCGAGGTCCTGCGCCTAGGATTCAGTGTTTCATGGGTTTGGATATTTTTCGCTACCTGCACTAGTTCTTCTGCTGCGATTGTGGCTACTCTTCCTCCTGACTGGTAAAGGTACTGCAGTTTACCTCCATCCCCAAATCCGCAGCAACCACGCCCACCCCAAACCCTAAGCCCTACCTTAAGCCGGAACAACCTACCTTTTTAAGTGTATATATAAGCAAATCATAGTAAGGAAGCCTAAAAAGGTAGGTTTTTCCGGCTTAAGGTAAGCCAGGTAAGCCCTAAAACCGAACCCTAAACCCTAAACCCTAAACCGTCGATGATGGCTTGGAGGTGTAAGGCGCCGGGCTGAATCTGCAGGTTTCAGGGTTTACCCCAAGGGTCCAAAGGACCATGTAGAATTCCTTGTAGCACCCTTCAAGGAACCTTTAAAGTGCCCTTATAGGACCCCTGTATATTCCTAATTAAAAAAGTAAAAGCCAGAAAGTTGGAATATGATTATCCTAACCCTTCTATGGTACATTATAGGGCATCCTACCATGAAACCATATTCCAACTTTCTGGAGTTCCCTGTAATTAGGTTGCCTTTAAACGGTTCTATAAGAGCTACTATAAGGGCTATTATAAGGGTTTAATATAGGGGCTTTTTCGAAGATAGAACCTCAAGGGTCTAAGGCTAAGGACCCAGTAACTAAGTACTCGGGTTTAGGATAGTAGTTATGTAGGTTAGGATTTGGAGAGTATATGATTACTAGGTACTTGGACCCTTGGGGTTAGGGTTTAGGTTTCAGGGTTGGAGGTTGGTACCCGAGTTTTGCCTTCATGAGGTGGGCCTTTGGGTCTAATCTGTTGGTCTGTTGGGGATTCAGGGTTTAGGGTTTCGGGTTTAGAAGTCCTGACAGGAACCTATACAGGAACCCTGTGGTAGTACAATTGTAGTGCTCTCACGGGATCCCTGACTCGAATCACTAATGCGAAACAGTGAGATCCTTTTAAAGCACTCAGAGACTCAAATATCCCTTAATTAAGGAACATTGCTTGAATTATAAAGGCATCCCTAAATAATATGGTTTAAGGAATATTCATTATTTAAGGGATCTTGGAGTCTTTGCGGAACCCTAAACCCTTAAACCCCAAAGCCTAAACCCCTAAAGCCTATGGATCTCTTGCAAGGGGAATTTTTCCTTAAGTGTCCATGTACCCAAATAGTATATACTTCGGCCCCAAAGTACCTGTCTAGGGAACACTTTACAGCCAAAGTATCTACTACCCTAAACCTTAAACCCTAAACCGTTTGCGTACATGGACCCTTATGGTTGGGGGAGCCTGGCAGGTTGGGGGTGATGAACAACGGCAACGGCTCAATGGATCTGGCCATGAACGTCAGTCGCCGCCCGGCCTTCGAAAAAAGTCATCAGAGATGTGGGGTGTATGGTTCCCTTACTTAGACATAGCAAGATGTTTTCTTTACTGACTTAGCCAATCGAGGAACTTTAACAAACTGTATGAACAAATCTCGTAATAGAGTAGGTAGCACTTTAATCCTTTTTGGTAGTATCGTCCCTATATAACCCCTATATAACCAAAAAGGCTAACCTTTAGCTCCCCATGATACCCGACAAGCAGGATTGTTAAGGCCCTAATATCATAGTACCCTTATGGGCCCCTTTTAGTAACCCTCAAACAGACCCTCTTAAAGGAAACATATCTCATTATGAAAACGTTTGAACTGTTTCGGGCCTCGTGGTTGAGGAAGAGGGCTTTAGGACTCTGCAGGGTGCTATGGAAGCCCCAAATGTAGAATTCCTTGAGGCCCCCCTAAACCCTAAACCGTTTAAACCCTATAAAGGATGTGCAGGATTCAAGATCCTGGGCTTGGGCTAGAGAGTTCAGGGGTTGAGGGTTTAGGGGTTTAGGGTTGAGGGTTTAGGGTTTAGGTTTCAGGGTTCAGGGTTCAGGGTTTAGCCTAAAGTTTGGTCGAGCATCTCAGCGCGGTTCCGGTTTCAGGGCTGTGGATCTTCGCTCGTGGCATTGGGGTTATCGGCGTTAAACCCAAAGCCCTGAACCCCTAAACCTAGAAGGTTTCGTGCTTTTGACGTTCTGTTTCCGAGCTCACCTTAGTAGTAGGGCACGCAACTTTTAAGCTGTTGGGGAGCCCTATCGTCCCAAAGGCTAAGCTTTTTCTCCCCTAAACTACTGGACAATTACGAGTCGCCGAACAAGCCTACTCTTTTTCCAACGGATCCTTATTATCATTTCTGCATATAATTCCTTAAGCCGGGTTCGAAGTTTCAACCTACGGGTTTAGGGTTGAGGGTTTGGGGTTGAGGGTTTAGGGTTGAGGGCTTAGGTTTCAGGGTTTAGGGTTCAGGGTTTAGGATTTAGGGGGCCTTCCTCCATCATGTGAGGACCCGTCATCATGAAATGTGTCATCCTTGTAGGCCACCTCTTTCGGGTCCTAACCCCTTCAGACCTTGAACGACGTACCAAGCCAGCCCCGGTTCCTACCTCCTGAAATTCATCCCTCGCCTAATACTTACCTGGTCTTGAGCCGTACGATGGTGCCCCAGAAGCCTAAAGCCTAAATCTTCAACCCGACCCGAGAACTGCAAGATTTGAGCTACGACCGACTACTGGTTTTTCTTGTTGTGAAGCCCGAACCAGCCCTCGACCCTAAACCCTAAACCGAGACCCCAGCACTGTGAATTCTGCGTCCTCTCGTGGGACCAAGACCTTGCGATGTCAATCCCTTTCTTTTGCAGCCCAGTTGCCTTGAGAATGCGCTTCGAACATGTGGTTATGTAGGGCTTTCTACAATGAAGCCTAGAAAGAGGTACTCCCACCTGCACAGTCTGCTTGTTCCTACATTCAACGAATAAGTAATAGAATTCCATCACAGTGCCGCTGCGCCCTTTTATGAGTGTCCACATATCCTGCGAAACCTTATTCTTATTAAAATATTGAGGACCCCCACATCAACCTTTGAAAGGAACCCATCAAGCAACCCTATTCCAATTATGAAGGCCAGCCCTATACTAAACTTGACCTAAAATCGTATAGCACCCCTTGGCGGAACCCTTCACCCCAAACATTCAACCTGGAATTCCGGATGTTCTGCAGATGGAAAAGAGCCCATAAAAGAAAAAAGAAAACATTCAAAGCAACAGTGATTGAAATTATGAAGGCCTCTGTGTTACACTGAAGACCCCCAAACCCGTCTAGACCCTAAAGGCCCCTTTCTAGTTATGAGCCCAGAGACTCCGATATCCCTTAATAAGGGAATATACTTTAAAAAAAATATAGTAAGACCCTAATATGATTTCAGGAACATTCTATACTTTAAAAATATAGTATATAAGATCCCTAATATGATTTCAGGAACATTCCTCAATTACGGGATATTGGAGTTACTGGGTTCACAGGAAAGCTGGCCAGCTTACGGCTAGAGGATGCCAGTGCCAGCAAGGTGCCCCGAACTGTTTGTTTGCTCATGTGGGTGTTTAGGGGTTTAGGGTGTTTAGGGGTTGAGGGTTTAGGGGTTGAGCTTTTAATGATGAAGGGGTTTAGGGCGCAGGCTTTAGGGGTTCAGGGTTTACGGGTTTACGCAGTTTCTCGCTGTAGGGTGTCCCTAAACCCCAAACCCTAAACCCTAAACCCGAAACCCCAAACCCTAAACCCTAAAAAGGGGTGCATCGGTGGTCGATGAAGTGAATCCGAAGCCCTAGGCCCGGATCTACCGTGGCCTGCTTATGAGGTGTATCCCGAAGGGTCCATGTACCCATAGTAGGGCTCCTTCAAGGGTTTAGGGTTTAGGGTTTAGGGTTTAGGGTTTAGGGTACCATAACAGTTGTATAAGGGTACCAGAAAGGTTTAGGGTTTTAGGCTTCAGGGTTTAATTTAAGGGTCCATATACCCAAACAGGGTATACTTTGCGCCCAATGTACCTATATAGGGAGTGCTTTAAGGCCAAGGTATCTACTCTTTGGGTACATGGACCCTTAGGGTATATATCGACTGGTCAAGGTCGGTCTTGCCGATCCATGCAATGTTGAGTTAAGGGGCGACCTGGTATGACACTAGCAGCTGAGGAACATGGCCGCCGGATGGAAGCGCACTGAGCTACGTCGTGGTTGTCCTTGTCGACGTGATGTTTACATGGTCTTGGTCAGGTAGACCGCCCGCCTCCAAGGATTGCCAGGACTTCGAATAATTTTGTGGACCGCACCCCGCTGAATTTGAGAACTACTGAGGCTGGCAACTCATCGTGGCGAGTATATGGAAGCATGAATAGTCCCCAACAGTATTGCGTAAGTCTTGCGACTGTCTTGATTGTAAATACCCGCGACACCCTGGTCTAATCATTCAGGCTCCTACCCCTCTCCTTCCTACATTAATGAATTACTAGGGTTCCGCACTGTATAGGGACCCGGAAAGGACAAAAGCACAGGCACATCCCTACTTTGTGGGGCCTGATTACAAGGAGGGTTCCGTTAAGGGTACCATATACCCTACGGGTCCATATATCCGAATAGCACATACTTTGGCCCTAAAGTACCGATAGAGGGACTGCTTGAAGGCCAAGGTAATTAGATACTACCTATAGTCTCCATTGTAGTTCCGTTTTTTGGTTAACCAAAATCTCTATTATAGGGTCCTAACCATAAAACTGGTCAACCAAAAAAAGGAACTACAATGGAGACTCAAGGTACTTCTTCGGTACAAGGACCCTGAGGGATAGGGATATCAGGTTTAGGGTTGATTGTTTCAAAGGGGAAAAGGGGCGACCCTTAATGCGGACCCCTACCCTGTAATGGGCCATATAATGGGTATATAATGTCTATATTAAGGGTATATACCTAGGGGTCCTTATTAAGGGTCCCTCCTTTTCCCCTTTGATTGTTCAGGGTTTAGGGTTTAGGGCTTGTGGGGTTTAAGGTTTATAGGGTCTATGCGCCCTTCAGCGCAGTTCTTCTTCTTGGTTCACCAGCTTTTCGACTTGGATCCCTCAATGAAATACGGGAACACACGAGCCAAATAAATGTGGCCATAAACATCCCATTAACTCTTGAGTTCTGAAGTTACTAAAATGTTCAATAGACGAGTATTATATGGCCAAGAGACAAAGAAACTGTACACAAAGGGTCCAGGCATCAGTGACTGCGAACTACCGGGCTTCTGATCTTAGCACCTCAGTGAAACACCCACCAACGCAATCGCCGATCACATGCATCCGGAGCCTGCAGAGGCCGTTCCGGACAGGGCCAAGCGGACCTTGAGCGTTCGTTGCCTGGCAGGTTCCAGCTTTGAGCTGGAAGTCAATTCTGCCGAAACAGGGCGGGAAGTTGCCGAACGCATCGCTGCCGCAGTTGGCCACCCTGCAGGTTTACTTGTTCTGACATCCAGTGGCTGCGTCATCGATCAGTGCTAGCTGCTGCTGCATCAAGTCCAGCACGACGAGATCTGGTACGTGGTGCGGAGACTTGGCGCGGGTCTTGTCGCGATGCTTTGGGAGCACCTGCTCGAGGAGAAGACTGTGTCTGATGTAGCTGCCCTGAACGAAACGATGTCGCTCACGTTTGGCTTCAATTTCAACCAGAGCTTGCTGGGCATCCAGCTACCCAGCAGCCTGCAGAGCTTGACGTTTGGCTTCAAGTTCAACCAGAGCTTGCAGGGCATCCAACTACCCAGCAACCTGCAGAGCTTGACGTTTGGCCACGATTTCAACCAGAGCTTAGAGGGCATCCAGCTACCCAGCAGCCTGCAGAGCTTGACGTTTGGCTTCAAGCAACTACCCAGCAGCCTGCGGAGTTTGACGTTTGGCAACGCATTCAACCAGAGATTGGAGGGCATCCAGCTACCCAGCAGCCTACAGAGTTTAGAAATTGAATTTGGCTGCGATTTCAACCAGAGGTTGGATGGCATGCAACTACCCAGCAGCCTGCAGAGTTTGACGTTTGGCACCAGGTTCAACCAGAGCTTGCAGGGGATTCAACTACCCAACAGCCTGCAGAGTTTGACGTTTGGCACCAGGTTCAACCAGAGCTTGCAGGGGATTCAACTACCCAGCAGCCTGCAGAGATTGACGTTTGGCCACTATTTCAACCAGAGCTTGGAGGGCATCCAGCTACCCAGCAGCCTGCAGAGTGTGACGTTTGGCGCCGAGTTCAACCAGAGCTTGCACGGCATCCAACTACCCAACAGCCTGCAGAGATTGACGTTTGGCGCCATGTTCAAGCAGAGCTTGCTGGGCATCCAACTACCCAGCAGCCTGCAGAGTTTGGATTTTGGCTACAACTTCAACAAGAGCTTAGAGAGCATCCAGCTACCCAGCAGCCTGCAGAGTTTGACGTTTGGCCACTATTTCAACCAGAGCTTGGAGGGCATCCAGCTACCCAGCAGCCTGCAGAGTTTGACGTTTGGCTTCGATTTCAGCCAGAGCTTGCAGGGCATCGAACTACCCAGCAGCCTGCAAAGTCTGACGTTTGGCTTCCATTTCAACAAGAGCTTGGAGGGCATCCAGCTACCCAGCAGCCTGCAGAGTTTGACGTTTGGCCACTATTTCAACCAGAGCTTGGAGGGCATCCAACTACCCAGCAGCCTACAGAGTTTAGAATTTGGCTGCGATTTCAACAAGAGCTTGGAGGGCATCCAGCTACCCAGCAGCCTGCAGAGTTTGACGTTTGGCTTCAATTTCAACCAGAGCTTGGGGGGAATCCAGCTACCCAGCAGCCTGCAGAGTTTGACGTTTGGCGTCCAGTTCAACCAGTGCTTGGAGGGCATCCAACTACCCAGCAGCCTGCAGAGTTTGACGTTTGGCGACGATTTCAACCAGAGCTTGCAGGGCCTCGAACTACCCAGCAGCCTGCAGAGCTTGACGTTTGGCCACTATTTCAACCAGAGCTTAGAGGGCATCCAGCTACCCAGCAGCCTGCAGAGCTTGACGTTTGGCTTCAAGTTCAACCAGAGCTTGCAGGGCATCCAGCTACCCAGCAGCCTACAGAGTTTAGAATTTGGCTGCGATTTCAACCAGAGGTTGGATGGCATGCAACTACCCAGCAGCCTGCAGAGTTTGACGTTTGGCACCAGGTTCAACCAGAGCTTGCAGGGGATTCAACTACCCAGCAGCCTGCAGAGTTTGACGTTTGGCGCCATGTACAAGCAGAGCTTGCAGGGCATCCAACTACCCAGCAGCCTGCAGAGTTTGACTATCGGCACCCAGTTCAACCAGAGCTCAGAGAGCATCCAACTACCCGACAGTTTGCGAAGTGTCACTTCACGGAGTTTTCGTGTAGACACGTGGTGAGCAGTGATGTGCTGGTGTGCTTCGTCTGTTCGTTGTCGTCAGGGCAACTGGTATGGACGTCGTCGCTCCTTCCTGACTTCGTTGGATCCCGAACCCAAGCTGACCGTTCCAGAAGGGTTTGGAGCAAAAAGGAAACCCAAGTCTTGATGCCGCGCACCAGCCTGCTGAGTGATGTTTGTTGTTGACAAACCCAAACCCCCAAACCTAGGCCCTAAACCCTATAGGCACCCTTGGGTTCCTCAATTCTAGGGCACTATGGCTTGCTTTTGGGGGGGCTTTATAGAACCTGGGATATCCCTACCCGATCTTAGTTTTTGCTTATGTGACTTTCTGGGGGCCTAGCTATAACTACAGTGCAATATGTACCCTGAACCCCATCCTAACTGTTAAGTCCACGTTTTCGAGCATCGTCTCAGTTAAGGAAGGCACTGCCAGAGGGCCGCTACATACTTTTAGAACAGGTTGTTGGGTGTAGTCGGTTGGAAGTATTTTGATCGTCATGCAATGACAAACCGGGGATGGACAACATTGAAGTGACACTGCCAAAGTTCAGGCGCTCTCGCAGACGTTGTAGATTCAACGTGACGACATGTATACAATCTTCACTATAACGTCTTTCTGCAATAGCATTGCTCTGAACTCGGCATGTTTGCACCTATGGACTCGCGAGTATAATGCGACTTCAGGTATCTATGTGTGGAACTTCCCTGCTTGGGCTGAGCTGTAGAACAGAGCCTGTTGCACCATATCGCTGAACAGGGCTGCAATAGATTTTATTGCTATAGAGGTCCCAATAGCTAAGACGGATCAGCAGGCTCTTCGGTGTTCGTTTTAGTACCATTCCAGCATGGAGCCTTCAGGAGTATAGTATTGGAGCCATGCCTTCCCTTACTTTCAGTTGCTGGCAGAACTTTGTAATGCGTGCGAGCATAATTCTTGAATTCCTGAACGCTCAATTCCGCTGGTTACCAGAAGGCTCCATAGTAGCTCCCTTTTAGGCTTTTAGGGCTCATATTTAGAATCCTGTAAGGCAACCCCAAAAATCGAACTTTTTTCGAGCCTCGGGGTAAGCATGAAGCCTACATTCCGAAGCCGAGAACAACGCCTGAACTTTGCATCCTGTACCCTGTTGCCGGTATGCTTGGTGTTTTCCGTCGTCGTTGCTGCTGTTGTTGTTGTTGCTCCAGACTTTTTGTCTCTTGTGTGTGTTGTTCTGTCGGTAAAGATGCAAAAGCTTCTGCATGTTGCTGCTCTGGCTTTCCCCCGTCGGCTATGCGGCTTATATCCTCAGTGTTGCTATTTTCGTGGCCGCTACTGTCGTTGTCGGTCTTGGTCGCCCGCCTCCCCTCCTCCTCCTCGTCCTCCTCCATGCCCTCACGGTTCTCGTCGTCTCAGCTGTTGTCCTGTTCAAGGGTAACATCTTCGCTTTTGGTTGCATGTTTCTGCTGCGGCGGCGGCGGTGGTGGTGGCCTGGGGGTTGCAGCAGCATAATGAAATCATACTATTATTGCTACGCCGGAAGGCGCCGCCACAACAACTTGACTAGTCATTCTGCTCAAAGCATGCTCCACCCACGAGCCAGGCTTCCGACAAGGCCATGATCGACAACCTGGCCCCTCGGGATGTAATGAGTGAGCCTCTGTTACTATTAATACTACTTGATACGTACTACTTCCTACTTACTGCCTACTACACGTACTACGTACTACGTGCTACTACTACTACTACTACTACTACTACTACTACTACTACTACTACTACTGCTACTGCTACTGCTACTGCTACTGCTACTGCTACTGCTACTGCTACTGCTACTTCCACTGCTACTGCTACTGCTACTGCTACTACTCCTACTGCTACTGCTACCACTAGGAGTAGTAGTAGTAGTAGTAGTAGTAGTAGTAGCAGTAGTGGTAGTAGTACTACTACTACTACTACTACTCCTACTGCCGCTACCACAACTACCACTACTACTACCACTACTACTACTTCTTCTTCTTCTACGACTACTATTACCACTTTTGCTATCACTACGCACACTACTACTACGAATACTACGAAGACCCCGACGACGACTACTACTACTGCTACTGCCACTGCCACTGCTAGTACCATTACCACTGCTACGACGACGACTACTTGTACCACCGCTGCTGCTGCTCCTTGCTCCTGCTCCTGCTGCTGCTACAAGTACTACGGCTACAACTACCGCTATAACCTGTAAAGTATACCACCATCACGACCACTTTGCTACTACTAGTACTACTACTACTACTACTACTACTACTACTACTACTACTACTACTACTACGACTACTACGACTACTACGACTACTACTGCTACTACTGCTACTACTGCTACTAGTACTACTACTGCGGCTTTTTCCATTGCTACCACTAGTACATGTTGTGTCGTCCTTCTAAGTCTGGGGCAAGTTGAGCGTTCCCAAATGGGAGTTTCCTAAATTTGGGTGGAATTGCCGCATTTTAGGGGACCCCAGGGTTCCGTTAAAGGGTTCCTTAAAGAGATCTATAAGGGTTCTATAACAGCTTTAGGGTTTAGGGAGTTCCGAAAATTAGGGGTACCTTATTTTTGGGTATCGTTAGAATAAGGATCCTCCTACTTAGGGTACTATACCAGGGTTCCCTATTTTGGGAAACTCCCAAATGTAGCCACAGCGAAACAAACCCTGAACCGAAAGACCAAACTTTTGCGTTCTTCTGGTTGACTCTTAGGACTTTACTTTTTGGGGTTTCCTATAGTCTCCTTAGGAATTATGCTCATTTTTGTTCGTACAAAACCCAAGAAAATGTTAAAAAAATACTTTGTTATTATGGTTCTAAGGATGGTATAGTTTCTCTGTACACTCTAATGAGGAGACGAAAAGTTCATTTTTTTAGGAGGGGTTCAGAAGTCGGCCAAGAAACACTCGTTTGCTGTAAGCTCAACTTTTCAACTTTTGGGGTTCCTCTACGGTAGTCCTGTAGTCGGTTCTGAAGGTTTCCAGTCCTACGGTTAATTATATAAACCCTGCATCACCCATAATAAGGAAGTTACCATGAATTTCCCACAGTTTAGGGTCTTTAAGGCAATGCAGGATTTATATCATCAACCGTATTTCCTTGGGTTTTGGGCCAGTGAGACCCTACTCCCTAAACCCTACTTGGAGGATCATGGGACTTAGTAAGTAGGGTTATAAGTATAAGTACATTAATTGGGGTTATAAGTAATTTGTAACTGTACTTACCTTACTTATTACCCGAGTTGCTAAGTCCCATGATCCTTTAAGCAAACCCTCAACCCACAGGTCACTGGCTACAACGGAGGCTTCTCCAAGATCAATGCCTTCCTGATCCACTCAGTTCGGGAGGCCCGAGAGGGTTTAGGGTTTAGGGGTTAGGGGTTTAGGGTTTAGGGGTTATGGGTTTAGGGGTTTAGGGGTTTAGGGTTTAGGGTTTAGATTAGGGTTTAGGGTTACTTCATGTGGTTTGGGTGTGCTCCCAGGTTTATTCTTCGGGGGATTTGGATTTAGGAGGTGACAGCTTAGCCAGTCAAGGCTTGAAAGCTTGAGAGCTTCAGGGTATTTGTGGGATCCCAAACGCATTGATTTTGATTTTAGGGCGCAGCCTGATTAAGAAATCCTGGGCCTATAACCCCAAAATAATAAGGTTCATTTGAGGAACCCTAGTAAAGGCCCAAGGTTTCTTAATCAGGTTCCTACATCAACTCCCCCAAAACCGTTATAGTACCCTTATAGTCCCCTTTTACAGGAACCCTTATAGAACCCTAATACAGGCCCTACATAAGCATCCAAGGTTTCGTAATCGGGTTCCTACATTAGGCTTTAGGGCCCGGACGCGAGTCGGAAGGCTTCAGGGTTTACTTTCTTACTCAATAATAGGGGACCCTTGGGTTCCGTCAAAGGGTTCCTTACAGGGATCTATGAGGGTTCTAAAAAGGGTTTAGGAGTTTCTGAAAATTAGGGGTACCTTATTTTGGGGTCCTTGTAGTAAGGATCCGATTTATTAGGGTACTACATTAGGGTCCCCCTTTTTTCGAAATTCGCTTATAGTATTCGGAAGAGTCTTGCCAGTGACAGCTCGGCGAGGTCTTGCAAGCGACTCAAATCCGATTCAAGGACCCGGCGTGCGTTGTTGGATCTCATCCATCGGGAGAGGGTGGCTGGGTGTGAGGCATGACATGAAACTTAAGAACCCACAAACTCCGATATCCCTTCATGAAGGAATATACCGTAAATTGTAGTAGGATCCCTGATATGATTTAAGGCATCTTCGGGAACGTCAGCTACCGAACGGTTAGGAAGCGCAGAACATAAATGTCATCGTTTCATTCGCAACCAGAAGCGAAGCATGCTAGCCTAAGCCGTCAAAGAGCGAAAGCCCTAAACCCTGCCCTAAGGCTCCTAAGAGGATTTTGGGCTTTCTGGGGGAGGGTTTCGGCTTTGGGGGCTAGGGTGTGGAATCTCACTACTACAAGGGTCCAGGAGCCTTAGGGTAATAGACTTAAACCCGCTGAGCCCCCTAAACAATCAAAACCGCTTGCCATAAATCCCCAAACCTTACAGAGTCATAAAAACCCATCCAGATCCCATAACCTGCCCCGAAAGCCCAGGAAGACCCCTGAGCTGTAAAATCCACGAACCCTAAAACTTCAAAGGCTAGGCCATCACCCCTGAACTATTATGCTATTTGGGGCTTCCTGATTATAACTTTGGTATATAATTATGTCCTTTTCCCCTATTTTTTTTATTAAGGCCCCTATATTATAGTACCCTTATAGATCCCTTATAGTAGCCCTTCTATCCCCTTTCAAAAGGAACCCTAAAAAGGAAAGGCCTATATGTTACGTTAGAGTTGCTGCACCCCGAGCTGGTTTAGGGATGTAGGGTTTAGGGTTGAGGGTTCAGGGGTTAGGGGTTCAGGGGTTAGGGGTTTAGGGGTTTAGGGTTCAGGGGTTAGGGGTTACAGTAGGGGTTTAGGGGTTTAGGGTTTAGGCTTAGGGTTCAGGGGTTAGGGGTTTAGGCGTTTAAGGTTTAGGCTTAGGGTTTAGGCTTAGGGTTCAGGGGTTAGGGGTTTAGGGGTTTATTGTTTAGGCTTAGGGTTTAGAGTAGCTAGGGTACCTGCAAAGAGGCAAATGTACCAAATGTTGTGGGTCATATCCTGTTTTTTTGGTACGTTGGTTACTTCAAGCCCTGGGCAAGGCTGATACAGTTTTCTTAGAGCCCGGGCGGCGCAAGCCTAAAGACAAGAGTCCTTCGAGCCTTTCGGAGACCCCTTCAGTGCCCTTTTGAAAGCCTTAAACACCATAGAGAGCCTACGCCCTAGGCCTTGTCTCCAAGGGCAAAAGGAGGGACCCTGAATAAGGACCCCTAGGTAAATACCCTTTATATAGCCCTTATATACCCATTGTATAGCCCATTATGGGGTAGGGGTCCCCATTAAGGGCCCCTCCTTTTCCCCTAAGCCTTGTCGCCAAGGCGACAATCCGGGGATCGCCAACCTCGCGAGATTGGTGCCTGTCGACAACCTGGCTCATCCACCCCACCTTAAGCCGGAATAACCTACCTTTTTAGGGTTCCTTATTATGATTTCCTTATATAAGTCCTTAAAAGGGTAGGTTATTCCGGCTTAAGGCAGTTGCTCTTCGCCAGCTACCAGGGTATGTCGAAATCAGTTCAATCTCGCTGTTTGGTTTCATGGACGCAAGCGAGTCCAAGAACACCCTGCTGATGTCAATGATTTGGGAGTTTCCGGAAATTCGGTGGTACCTTATTTGCCATTTATGTAGGGTACTATATTAGGGTCCCCTATTTTCGGAAACTCCCATACGGAGATGGTCCTCGCTCTTGCTGGGAGAGTGGACAACACTGATCCGACCCAACGATACCCAGGTTCAGACTGTGCTTCTGTCTGTCCACAGGACGGTTTAGGGGTTTGGGGTTCAGGGTTCAGGGGTTTAAGGTTGAGGGTTTAGGACTTGTCTTCCTGCAAGGGAAGGCTCGCACACAATCCTTGACCGCTTCTTCGAAAAGGGAAAGATAGAACCTCCACCGGAAGCCCATTAACCCGCCGCCTTTCATAAGTGTACTCACAGTCATGTTTAACGACGTAGACTACGAACTTGCCAGCAGCGGCATTCCCACAAACACTTGGTCCTCAGGTATGTAAACCCACTTATGATTGAGAGTACGCGCCTCACGTCGTATATGCAGCAATTAACCAAAAATATGAAACGAGACCCGCTAATGCGCGCCTCGACATCGCGCAGGGCATCCTCGACAGAAAAGCCTCATAGCCCTGAAGCAAACCCTATCGATAATTCAACCGTTGCATCCTGAAGGACGACCTCGAGTCTTTGCAGGTTACGCTGGACGCCGCAGAGACGCGCGAGTTCAAGAGCCGCGGGGGTTTTTCTAGAAGGTTGAACACAGTCTCAAGGGTCACCAAAGGTGTTTATAGGAGGTGCCCTGGGGGTTGTAGAGGAGCTGAAACACGAATTGCAAAGGATGGTATTTGGCACCCTAAACCCTAAACCCCCAAAACGTCGACCCTAATTATGAGAACTTATAGTGCATGTTTGAGGGGCAGGGGCGGGTCGAGTGGGGTGGAGTTCAGGAATCAGGGTTGAAATGCTATTGGCAAATTCAGGCTAGGATTTACGGGTTTGGCCTTTGATGGTATAGCTGGTATAGTGGTTTGATGTCGGGGTTCAGGTTTATGGCTTCAGGGGATTACCATACAGCTTCAGGGGTGTGGGTTGGGCTGTTGGCATGTAGAGCTTCAGGTGCGGGTCCTCTCTTGAGTTACGGTTCCTCCGGATTCAGGGCGAGTGTGATGGTGGTCGTGGTCCTGGTGGAGATGGTGCGAACCCAAACGGTCCGAAGTACCTTTATAGTAGAAGTAGAAGGTAGGGTTTCTATGTTAGGAATTGTTATTATGATTTAGGGAAGCATGCCCCATAACAATACCTAGGACCCTTTGGGGAATGGTGCTTCGGACAACCCTGGTGGCTACGGATTGGACATCGTAATGATGACATGATGACGCTAATGTTTCGCTTATTGGCTGTACCGTTTGCGACGATGTTATGAATTGGAATCCACTCGGGGCCAGGGTGATGGTGGTGGCCAGGATGTTGCTGCCGATGAGTTCGCTGTGAACATGACCATGCTTGTTGCATTTGCCGATGGTGGTAAAGACAGTTGGTACTGATAGGATCGTGGGCACTTAGTAATATTCATTTTGAATGTAGTCATAACGAGTCATAACCATCATTACCTCGTAACTCCAAGTGAGGTACCCTTGACCTTCCAACCGACAGCCCAAAAACCGAACCTATTCTGGGTTTGGAGTACCATGCTTGAATGTTTTTGGTATCTGTTCCTTAAAGGAATGATTGCTTGGATGCCCACTAGTAACCTTATTCCCTTTTTTGTAGTCCTAGTTCCTTATAAAGTTACCCAATACCGAAGAGGGAGCCCTTTTATTCCTAGGTTCTGGGCATCCTAGTTCAAAGTTCAGATACTGTGGTCGCCGGGCCGAAACTGAGAGCTTCGCGTTAGAAATACCTGTACGCGAAAACCTGTAGACAGTTGCGGTACTTCGAACCTAAATCCTAAAGCCTAAACCTAAACCCTCTCTCCTGTCAGGATACTGGACAAGTAAGAATCCCTACCTCTAGTTCCCATTGTAGTTCCGTTTTTTAAACAAAGAAGCTTATAGTTATAGAGTAACCCAAAACAGGAGCGACAATGGAGACTACAGGTACAGTCCCGTAAACGCTAAACCCTTAACCCTAAACCCCTGAACCACGAAACCCCAGCCTCAGACCCGCAGGAGTAAGCCGAGCTTCAGCGACGTTGTTCCGGCCGAGATCTCAGCGAACCCGTCGCTGAGCCTTGGTAAACCACCAGTGCCTATTGTAGGTATAGCTTTGGGTTTAGGGTTTAGGCTAGGGTTAGTGGTTTAGGGTTTAGGGTCCAGGCTAATGGCTTGAGGGTTTAAGCCAGGGTTTTTGGGGTTTAGGGTTCTGGGTAATGGCTATATGGGACTGTAAAATAATCCCGTGCTGTTAAGTTTAGTCTTGGCATGTCCGTGATCGGTTTTGCTTTTTTTTCCGTGCAAAACGATAAGAAGAAAATAAACCAGAACACGCATTTTCGTTGTAAAACGATAAGAAGAACATGAAAACGATTAATAACATTCAGGGGTAAGGATGCTTATACGGGTTGTTATACAGCCCCATGTGGACAGTTCTCTTAAATGTGGGTCCCTTTTAGGGTCCTTTTCTTTTATCAAGGTGCCGTACGATGTTTGGAGACTACAAAGGGACCCTGTTTTGGAAAACTACCCGTATACGCCCAAGAAGAACAAAGGCGCCAACGAAAACATAAAGCTCAACTCCAAGTCAGGCTTTTTGGGTTTGAGATTTGCATAACGAGGTGTAGCTAGGGTTGCAGGGTTTGGTGTTTAGGGCTTGAAAAGAGTTTATGGTTTGGGTGCAAAGTTTGCTTGCTTTGCAGGTCGAAGCTGGTAACAACTTCTCGCGGCCACGAATCGGTGGCTGGCTTCGCAAGGCGGCTTTTAGGGGCTACTTGGAGGGGCAGGGGACTTAAAAGGTAGGTTATATACGTAGGGTTATAATTAGGGTAACTCCATTTAGGGTACTTATAACTCTATTTAATACCTACTTACTAAGTCCCCTGCCCCTCCAAGTAAGGCTTTTGGGGGTGTGGGGTTTCGGAGATTTGGGTTGAGGCGTTTAGGATTGTTTGTTTTGGAGTTTAGGGTTTCATTACCCCAAGGGTCCCAGGTCCCTAAGACGGTTTAGGGTTTAGGGTTTAGGGTCTCCCCAAAATCCTAACCTACATAACTACTATCCTTAACCCGAGTACTTAATTATTGGGTCCTTTGGACCGTTGGGGTCCTATCTTCGAGAAAGAGTAAATCCTTCTAATAGCCCTTATAGTAGCTCTTCTAGACCCCTTTTAAAGGAACCTCTTCTAATGATTAAGCCCTGAACCCAACAAGTAGACGGCTCATTGCGGTCGTCACAGGGGGGGGGTCGGCCGATGGTTTAAGATGGGCGTTCACGCCTTCTAGTGTTTGAGGCGGTACATATGGGGTTCCTTAAAAGGATCTATACGGGTTCTATAAAAGGTTTAGGGTTTAGGGAGTTTCCGAAAATTACGGATATGTTTTTGGGGGTCCTTATAAGAAGGATCTTACCTTTTAGTGTGCTATATTAGGTCCCCTATTTTTTGGAAACTCCCACATAAATTGGGAAGCAATGGAACTCCTCGAGTGCTTCCAATCCGTTGTGCCCCATGGCCGCCGCACTCAGCCCCATGAACACCGCTTTTCTCTGGGATGCCCAGTAGTACCCTTATTCCCTTTTTGTAGTCCTAGCTTCCCTACAAAGTTACCCAATACCAGAAAGGGATCCCTTTTTATTCCTAGGTTACTGGGCATCCTAGTTCTTGAATAGGCATGCAAGCCGCATCTCAGATCCAAAGATCTGGCGGGATCTAAAAAGACAGTGCTTTCCTTTCTGGTCGACGGTCTCTGCTGCTTTAAGGATAATACTGGAGTTTGCATAATTAGAACAGGGTTGTTTATAAGGTTCCTTTATGTGAGGCCCCTATATCACATTGTTCAGGAAATTGAGGCGTTGCTGTCCCTTCAATGGAGCCTTTCCTTCAGTAGTGTAGTAGTTTCCTAGCAGGACAACTGAAGCTATATACCCTAGGCTTCAGGTTTTGCAACAAGAAACCCATAACTATTGAAGCTACACCCTAGGCTTCAGATTATGCAACAAGAAAGCCATAACTATAGCAAACCTCGACACGAGACCCTTGGCTTGCAAGGTATGTCTTAGCGAAGATGTGAGTGATACCGTCCAGAAGCTGGGTTGGGGTTGTGGTTGTTGACTGTTAGGGTGGGAAAGGTTCTTGCCCGAAATTCAGACATATAGGTACTTCAAATGTTTTGGAAAGCGCATACACAACGTCGATCGTGCCGAGGGATCCATACGGTTACGGTCAGGACTCCTGAGTAAGGTGTCCCCGCAGAAAGCCCCAGAAACCCTAAACCCTATAGACCCTGGCCCTAAGCCGACCCTAGACCCAAAACCTAAACCCCAAATCCCAAACCAGATAATCCTCAAAACCCTAAACCCTAACCCAAACCCCCAACCCTAAGCCGATATGGAGTGGCGTGATGGTGTTCAGCTCGTTCTGCTGCCGGGTGGGGGGAGTGGGGGCGCCGGGGGTGGGAGGTACTCTCCAAAATTCATAATAAGTTCTTTTACTAGGATGCCCAGTAGTACCCTTATTCCCTTTTTGTAGTCCTAGGTTCCTTATAAAGTTACCCAATACCAAAAAGAGAGGCCTTTTTATTCTTAGGTTACTGGGTATCCTAGTTTATAGAAGTGTTGAGGCCCTACATTCTAAATTATAAGGACTTAGGACCCTTTGGGAAAGACTATATCATCAAGCCCTTGGGCCCATGACATTGGTTCTCTGCTTAAGTTGAAGAGCCCAATACCAGTCGCTCCGCCACCACCTGGTACAGTTATACCGGAGATCCATTTAATTTTAACTAGGGCACTACACTAGTGTAGATCAGTTATCCTTAAACGGGGGGAGTCTGCTTTTTGCTCCCTTTGCCGTAACCTTCCTGACGACTTGTTAAGTTTTCCTTTGCTGCCTGGTGAACTATAGAACACAAGGCAACACCGGCAGAGTATGCTTTTGAAAAGCCTGATCTTTCGTGTTTGGTGCTCACAAGATAGAGGGCATGAGGGTATACATGTTGAGCTGAAGCTTTGACGTTTCGAGCTCGACAGAAGCTGTCCAACTAATGAAGATTAAATGAAAACAGGGCTTGGGTAATGTCTTCTAACTTTTTGTTTCTGACAGAATTAGGGTGCCCCCTCGAAGGGCTTACCAACTCTTCGGTAGGTTGTACACAAGGTGAGGTTTTTGTTGACATAGGGTGCCCTTTGAAAGGGCTTAACAACTTATCGGCAAGTTGTACGCAAGGGTTTACTGAGGCTTGATGTCAAGTCAAGGCCAAGCCGTGGATAGCAGCTCCACGGGCGCGAGAGCGTGGTGCCGGCCGGCCTTTGTGGTCATCCTTGTTAGACTTCTCCAGTGACCGAAGTCTCAAGTGACCGATGAGTCACATTCAACTCGCACGTGGACTGCAGAGTCTGTTTGTTCGAACAGCTTGTGCAAACAAAGCCTTGGATCGTCGCAGCACGGCATGGACCCCGACATGGACCTTACGCCCTATCGTCTTATAGGGAGCGCTCTCAACCATAAATCGGCCCGCATGTTCCCGCTTCCCATGCCAGTCGAGCAGGAGATACAGAGCGCGAGTGGAGGGGGAATGTCTGCGAGCATGAGCGAGAGTGCATGTCACGCCTGTGAGCGCCAATGTGAAAGTTGCGTATCTGCAAGCGTGACTGGCATCCAGTGAGTGTGTTGCGATTGCATGCGCGTGTGTTTGTGATGTCTGCGTGTGTGTGCGCCTGACGGAGTGTGCGCGTGTGCTTGTGCGGGTGCGGGTGCGTGTCTGTCATTGCACGGGTACGACAGTGTGTCTGTGTTTGCGTGTGCTCAGTTGTGTGTGTGTGTGCGCCATGGACACATTCTGTAAGTGTGCACATGGTATTTGTTCGTGTTCTTGAGAGGAGCATAATATGATCTGATCGAGACTTCACGTCAATTCAACGCAAATCACTGTTGGAGATCGATGTTGCTCCTTCCTCTATCATGGCAAAGCTCCCTGCGCCCCAAGTAATTTTCGCAGAACCCAATTTTGCGAGTTTTTGGCCACGAATTTTGTGGGTGCAGACCTTTTGATACCGTGTGCGCGGGGCTCATGAAAGATGAATGTGTTGAACTGTTGAACGTCGAGCCCACTAGGTAAGTCACTTGAACGTTTAGTCAATGCAACACCTCGCTGACACCAAGATGCTACTATCGGGCTCATCTCATGTTGTGGAAGGCTTATGCCAAGACGAAGATGCTCGACGTCTTCCACAAGAAGGCGCGGCTTTTGTTCGGTTTGTCCTGTGTTTGTTTCTGTAGCATGACTGTTTGCTTGCCATTTTAAGTCAAGACCCATTTCGCAATTGAAACGCATACACGTGTAATCAATAGACTTGTTTGTTGCACGTATGTTGAATTGGAATGTCCAACGTCCGT